GCACCAAGAGCAGAGTATACAATCCAGATATTCGCATCTTCCACGGGTAAGTTGCGTTTTGCCAAGGACCATCTGTGCTTCATTAAGCTTACACTCGTTGCCAGACTCAATCAAATTACAACGCAGCCTGCCAGCGGCGCCGTACAGAGTCCTCCAAGCGCCGGGCCTGGAGGATGACTACTACCGCTCGCCCTTGGCCTACTCTTCTACCTGCCAATGCTTAGCTGTGGCTCTGGGAAACACCGTCTACCGATGGTCGGAATGGCATGATCCCCAACCTGTCTACCGCACTCCTCACCAGCGACATACGAGCCTGACGTCTCTGTCATTTTCCTCAACCGAGGGAAACAAGGCCATTCTAGCCTTTGCACGCAAGGATGGTTACTTTGGTCTCCTGTCGTTCATTGACGAAATGCTTCCGCGGTTTTGGTTTCACCACCCCTTTCCGGTCGAATGTGTCAGCTAGCGGCCATCAGTGACGAAAAGACCATCACAAAACCCCTTCATCTCGAGCGCTACAGTGCCGACAGAGGACCTTCTTGTTGGCGATGGTCGAGGAAACATCCTGCACTACGTCGTTGAGTGGCCCAGCTTGTGGGAGGTATCTCGTGACACTTGGTTTGGTAAAGTGACGCCCGTTGCCAAGATTGCAGCGCACACCTCGCAGATTTGTGCGCTGGTCTGGTCTCCCAATGGCCAAGACTTTGTTTCCGGGAGCAATGACAACACGGCCTGCTACTTTGAGATACAACGATTGGACCAACAGAGCAGGTACCACAACTTAGCTACGGCTCTGATCCGTAAAAGCCGCCGGTCAAAAAGTGATTGGAGCCTGCTAGGAAGAGATAATATGTATTCTCGACCAAAAGAGTATGAAGCGAGCGGCAATGGATTGAGCCCTAGCGTTGAGACGTTGTTCGACGTCACTCCGATAAGCGCAACAATCGAGGCTGGTGTTATTGGAGGCATCCCTACAACGTTACAAGCGCCTACAGAAGATCTGCGAGTGTTTGGACGAGGAATGGAAACGCACTGTTGGCGACACGAAGCTGCAATAAAGGCAATCGCCTTCTGCCCCTGGCAGAACGGGCTCGTTGCCACTGGTGGCGGCTTGGGCGACAAGTGCATCCACTTCTTCCACACGACGTCTAGCATACCACTGGTCACCATCGATGTCGGTGCGCAGGTCACCTCGTTGATCTGGTCTACGACACGGCGGGAAATAGCAGCTACGTTTGGCTACAGCCATGGCTATGCGCAAACCGAGCACCCATATCGTCTTATTGTCTTCAGCTGGCCGTCTTGTCGGCAAGTCGGGGCTATTGCTTGGGCGGGTGGCCCACGGGCCTTGTACGCCATTCCGTACCCAGGAGGACCGTCAGATGCGCTCAAGGGAAGTCGTACGGCAAAAGAAGGAACTATTGTTGTGGCATCGAGCGACGAGACTCTCAAATTTCATGAAGTCTGGCAGGATAAGCCAAAATCGACGACCGGAGGCGCCGTTGGCATGTTGGGCGGTAGTGACATTCTCGAGGCTCTTGGTGGGATCGATAAGGATGGAGACGTCATTCGATAAATCGCGAGAGGAGATAGCTGCATGCTTCGAGGGATTATCAAGTTTACAATGAATGTCAACATGAAGTATTCGTCCCGTTGACACACCAAACACCTATCTGCATGTATATTCATGAATCGAACTTGAGACTTTTCATCTGGCTGTCAGCATCACTCTTCATACTGACGTGGTACGAAGACCAAAAAGCATTTTATCTCGTATGCCTTATAGGCGCCGTGATGACGCTGGTGAGACGATGCTCGGGCTGGCCCTGACTACATTACCTGGAACTGAGCGTTGCTTTTGAAACATTATGAGCTGGTCAATTCCCCTTTGGTGGACTTTGGAAATTTGGCACAGTAAACATCGGGCTCATGAGTACCAGAAGCTAGCTGCCTTAGGCAGGTATAAATGAGGTGGTGAGAAGAGCAAGTCTTATAAGCTGACTGATATAAAAGTATATGTTACGTTGCAGCCAGAAGAATGTACGCTGATCGAGGCAACAGAGCTCATTCTTTACAGAAGTACACGCTGGTCTAGCAGAAGAGAAAGAGAGATACACTTCGCCGGTGTAGGAATGTTGACTTCATTACCTTAGTCTATAAGAGATGATGCAGATTGTGAGATGTGAGGTGTAGTGCATGCATCATCAACCTGGAAGGCCAACGTGGACAACACGCAAAGCACTGCAGTTCTAGGCCCCCCATTTATTGGGCTAGGTGACCCCGAACCACCGGAGGCGCTAACACCCCAGCACGCGGGAGACAAAATCATCCGCCGGTCCATTCAAGCTCTCTCTTTCTACCCAAGGCCTATCCAGCACTAATTAAGTCAGGATACCTCAGAAAAGACTACGTGTCAAAAGAGAATTACCTAGGGTATTTTCTGAGTATTTTGGAATTATTTTATCTCTTCTAGTTGATGTTGAACGGGCATGTTTTGGCCCAGGAGGCAGGAGGATGAATCTGTTACCCGCGTGCCCAGGCACCCTTGAAAGCATACGGACCCAAAGACCCCTGTCGCTGCGGCGCCGCCTGCACAGAAACGCAACTCACAGTCCTTGTTGCGGACGACCTGACGTCCTGAGCGCTTGTCTCACACCCCCCGTCTCCGTCCGTCCCCCCGTTCCCCAGCGCATGAACACCTCCAAAACGTCCCCCGAATCCGCAACCACTCCGGATCATCCAGGAACAACGTTTGCAACCATCGTCATCCCTTCCAATCCGAATCTCCTGCTTGTGCACTCTGCCTTCCATTACGAGCACCGGTCGGCAATCATAACATCCACATACCCACCAAGTAAAATAAACTCGAAAATCCATCCCCACAGAAACATTCGCAACAAGACAAAAGACCAAGAACATGTCCACCCTGAACCAGCTTTACCTGCTTGCCGACCACGTCAAGCTCTCCCTCCTGGAGCGTCAGCGCGCCCTGTCGCTCAACCTCGACGCCGACACCCAGGACGGACACATCTCCCGCTCGCTCGACCAGTTCAAAGATGGCCTGGAAGCATTAGACGCCGAGGCCAAGCGCCTGCAGGGTGCCGGCGATGAGAGGTGAGCTTCCTCCCCCTTTGGTCCTGTTCCCTTACCTATGCGACGGAATCCTCCATAACCGACGTCATGCCGGGATGTTTCTCCCAAATTCCGCGCGAGAGCATCGTGGCCCATATTCTGTGCGTTGTACGGTATGCTAATCTGGATCCTACTTCCCGCAGCGCCGCCCTGAACATCACCGACTCCCTCCCCGCCCTCCAGAAGCAGTTCTCAGACCTGACCTCCCAATTCCACGGGTTCTCCAACCCCTCCACCTCCTCCACCACAACCTCGCCAAACGACCCCTCTCTCGCCGCCGACTTTGACGCCGCCCAGTCCACGAAGCCCCTCAAGGGCTCCCTCCGCGGCCTCCCCGGCGGCGCCTCGAACAACAACAAGACCGTCCGCTTCACCGATTCCCCCGGCGCCGCCGCAGCAGCAACAGCTGAAGAAGACGCCGCCACCGCGGCACTCTTCGGCCCCGGCCGGTATCGCGACGACCCGGCCGACACGGCGGGCTACCGCGACCAGGCCGAGGGCATGGACAACCAGCAGATCCACGCATACCACTCGCAAATCATGCGCGACCAGGACGACCACCTGGACCGGCTCGGCGAGTCCATCGGGCGGCAGAGGGAGCTGAGCATGCAGATTGGCGACGAGCTCGACTCGCACGTCGCCATGCTGGACGAGGTGGACGAGGTCGTGGACCGGCACCAGGGCCGGCTCGACCGGGCGCGGCGGTCGCTGGGGAAAGTCGCGAGGGACGCAGGGGAGAATAAGCAGATGATGACCATTGTCGTGCTCATCATCATTCTCGTTTTGCTGATTGCGATTCTGAAATGAAGAGTGAGGGGATGGAACGATGAAGAAAGAGAGCAGCGGCAGCAGCTGCAGCGGATGGGTTGTAGTCATGGACGGACAACCTCTCTTTGATTTTTTTGTTTCAATGGGGTTTCTCTCTTTGGTTTGAGATTCGTCCTCGTTAGAGAGACAGGCATGAGAGACATTTAGGTACTTGTCTACAGTCTTTCGAGTAAAAGGCGCATAGCATGGTTTGGCGTTTTAGGAGTCTTTCTTTCAATCAGAGTCGATTTCTTCGTCTATTATAGCAATCATTCTTTTGATATCTCTCGGTTATGCAATCCAAAGGGATTCGCGAAGAAAGCCTACGCGGCCCCGGATAAAGAGGTGGAGAGGGCAAACGGAACAGAATGGTTGATCCACATTTTGGTATAATGTATCATCATGAACGTGAACGCGCTCCTGCGATGGGCACGCATTTGCAAATGCATTTCCGCGTTCGAAAGAGTATCATCTTCATTTTGGTGTCGTTGAGCCTTCATATATGCGCTCCAGCATTTCGGATCTCGAAGCAGCCACAACAGCTTCAACATCATCATCGGTCTATTAGTCTAGTTGGTTAGGACGTCGGATTCTGATTCTCAGAACCTTCCGTAGGCCCAGGTTCGAATCCTGGATGGACCTCTTTCTCTTTTGTCACTTTCAAATATGATTCGATTCTCATGATAGTGATACCAGCATTCTTTTTTGGCCTATATATTATGAGGGATATTTGGGTCCGTTGCGTGAAGATAATTGGGAGTTCAGACGGTACAATTGCTGTGATAGCTTCACTCGATGAGTCCAAGCCTCATTTGGTTAAAACAAGCCAGGCGTCGCCTCGATGCCTACTACTTTATTTTTCACAACTATTCAACATACAACAGCTTGCACAATCGGTCGTTACAACTGCGAACTATGTGCGACAAGAGTATGAGAAGATAAGCCTCGTCGCGTCTTAGACAACGTTAACTCTAAGCTAGTAAAATAAACTCCCGCCTTCGCCCGTTTCCGAATCAAGCCTATTCCAACTGTTAACACACACACACACTTACACAAAAGTTCTATATCCTCACAACAATAGCCTCCCGCACCAAACGATCCTGAACGCCCCCAACAGCAGCAGCATTCACAAATACAGTCCTCCCCGTACGCCTCCGTCCCCCTTGCCACCACAGCACCCATCCCCAGACCAAGAAACACCAGCCCAGACCAAGCAAGGCCTTGACCCAAGCCATCACCACATTACCTACACCACCACAACCACCACCACCGCCGCCGCCGCCGCCGCCGCCAGCAGCAGCCACCGCAAAAGCCTCAGCCTCCAACAAGACCACCTCCTCGTACGCCGCCTGCAGCCCGTCAAACGCGACCGCCTCCCGCCCGCGACCGCAGTGCACGTGCCCAAAGACGTGCAGCCGCGGCCGCGCGCGCCAGACTTCGGCCAGGAGCATCTCGCACCCCCAGTGGCCGCGCGGGTCGTCCATGTGGCCCTTTGGCGGCGCGTGGGTGACGAGGATGTCTGTTCCGGGCGGGATGGTGCCGCGCCAGGGGTCGCCTGAGTTGTCGCTGTCGTTGTCGACGTCGGCCTTGCGCCAGGAGGTGGTGGAGGTGGTGGAGGAGGAGGAGAAAGAGGAGGAAGAGGAGCAATAGGGGGCAGCGCCGCCGGAGCGCGGATACTGAAAGGCCCAGTTTCCGTGTCGCGGCGTATACGGACTACCGTAGATGCGGATCTTGCGGTCAGCGTACGTCCTGTTCCCGTCGTTGGGGCGGCGCGGGGGTATCGTGAGGGTCGTTGTTGTGCGGTTTAGGTAGATGATGTCGCCCCAGTCCAGAGGTGATCCGTCGCCGTCGTCGTCGTCATCTTCATCTTCATCTCTTCTGCTTGTGATCGAGTAACTATCGTTATCTTGTGACTGTCCACCAACCCTGATCCCCTTCTCGCCCCTCCTCCGTCCATACCCCGCCTCATCCAAACACAAATCATGATTCCCCGCAACAACGACCTTGAACCGGTGCGGCTGCGCCCGAATCCACCTCAACGCCTCCCTCAGCTCCCTCTTGGTGCCCGAGGCCGTGAGGTCGCCCGCGTGCACGAGGACGTCTCCCGGCGGCAGGCGCGGTTTGGTGTTGTGTGTGTCGGAGACGCAGACTACGGTCACGGCGTCGTCGTTGTTGCCGTCGTTGCCGTTGCGGTGGGGATACACCACGGGATGCGAAACGGGGAAAAAGTCGTAGAGATATCTGGCTATTGTCGAGAGGGGGTTGGAGAGGAGATGGTTTACGACTCCGTCGTCTTCCGGACGGCTGAGGATGGCGTCTAAGCCGGATGAGGAGCGGAAGAGTGGCATTTTTTTTCTCTCTCTCTTTTTCGCTCCCTTTTTTGTTTTTTTTTGTTTTGGCCTCTGTGTTGTTTTGAGTGTTGTAAGTGATGTATCCTGAGCTTTTGTTCAACTGTAAGCCCTTGTAATGCACCTTTTTGGATGATACTGCCTGGTTCGTGTAAGTCGCCAGCTGTCTCTTCAACGCTGCTTTGCTTTTGATGAGGTGAGACGGACAGAGCCGGTATATATCTCTCCAGCGAATAAGGAGATGACACAGAAATTGCGGCCAAAAAAAAACAAAAAACAAAAAAAAAACCCTACTGTGAGTTTATATAGTCACTCTGACAAACGACAAGAAGAGTACCAAACACATTTTGCGGAGGGCGGGTAAAGTTCCATCATAAGTGAGAAAACCTCAAGCCATCTCCGATGAGTAGTAGGTATTGTATGCAAACGAACAGGGTGGTGAGAGAATTCCCTTTCGAACCACTCAGAAAATCCGCGTGATTGCCCCCTCCAATGGAATGACATGATTGTGACAAAATCACCAGATCTGTATCCCCCCCCATCCCCCCTTCCCCTGTAACGTGGGCCAACTTCTGACGAGGCCTGGCAACGCCATTCCGTGATGACATACCATAGACTGTGACGCGGTTTCGGACAACCAGATGGACTGCTTGTTTTCCTTTACCCGAAAATACCTACCATTTCATCAACACAGCTTTGGATACCTTGATGATACCCTCACATTCTACCCCAAAAGGGTCCTCTGATCTTTGCAGCGCTGCTTCCTGGGGAGTCAACATGGAATTGCCAGTTTGAATAGAACAACTGATGCTGGGACAGAAAGCTGGCGTGCTCTACTGTGCTATGAACAAAAACAGATTCCAAAGGCCGTCATGGTAAAAAGCAGGAAGGCGCTTCATGTAGCATCAATCGCAGTCACCAAATACCTTATCCTGACCTAGGTAGGCCCAAGGGTTGCAAACATATCAACGGACATTACATCAAGTCAAGTTAACTCCCTGTCAAGAATTTGGGTATGCATATTTCCTTTCCGATGAGAGACTAGGTATTTGTAAGATGGAGGAAAATAAAGCGACAGCAACGACTACGCCGACAAAACACCACCTTCCGCCGCCGTAGGATAGAACAAAAAAAGCTATCCGCCAGGAAAAAAATTCCACAAAACTTCTTTTTTTTGGAAACCCATCTTTCCCCCAACTCATTCCTCGCCAACAAAAAAAGAAAAAAAAAAAAAAGTAGCTTGGAGACGTGACCGAGACCCCGACGGGCAAATCAGACAATGCGAGGCGGCTCGAGGGATAAACAACATGAAACAGTGAGCCCGAGCTAGACAGTAGCCGAGCGTGATATCGTACAGGTAGGGGGGGGGGGGGGGAGGAATATGGACAAACTTTGTTGTCTCGATTAGCCTCTGCGTATCTCGATTGCTGGGCGACAACTTGCTACCGTTGCACCGTTGCTCCATGTGGAGGGGCTCAGGAGCCTCATTCGACCCGAGACATCCCCACTTGCGCTGCAGACAGTTGGTGAAGTCTCGTCCCAAGGTTGTGCAGGAACTTGCCTGCCCTTCCAGGTGGGCTTGGTCGAGAGTGGAGGGTGACCTAGATGCCAAACGAGATCGACATAGGATATGTGGTGGATTGAGCTTCCAGCCAACACCGAACGTCCAAAATGCTTGCCAAACACCCGCATATGAACAGCCCTGAGATCCCAGAGCCAGAAAGCCAAGCACTAAGACGCCGCCATGCTGCATAATGATGACATAAAAAAAAAGGCATTACTGAGCCTGCGTAGCCAGACTCATATTAGAGCATAACCTGGATGTCCAAAGACACCCCTCCAGCTTACGCCGGGTTGCCCTTCATTCTCTTTGCCATCCGCGGCGTAGGGGGCTTGCCCTTGTTCTGAACTCCGTTGACCTGAGGACCACCCGGGGTAGGTGCCTGGGAGCCGTCCTCCTCCATCTTCACACCGGATGGGCGTCTTCGCTTGTTGGAAGCTGGAGACGTGTTTGCACTAGGTCCGCTGGAGCTGGTGCCTTGCTGGCTCTGTTGCATTTGCATGCCGGGTGCCTGCATGTGGCCTTGCGCAGGGCTTCCAGTGACGTGAGGCGAGCCAGGAAGCTGCATATGCGGCTGAGCCGGGCTCGCACCCATCGGGAACTGGCCGAAGCTGGGTGTCCTGGGAGCTTGGGGCATCGGCTGACCGTTCATGACCTGTGGCTGGGCGTTGATCTGGCCGACATACTGCTCAAGAGCAGCGTACGGGCCAAGGTTAGGGTGGTTGTGGTAGAAGGCGAAAAGGGGGTTCATTTGGCCGATCACTTCAGCAATCTGCATGTCATCTTTAGTGCCGGAGATCCACATGCATGCGCGGGCGAGCTGTCACATACCTCGAGGAACTGGAACACAGCTTCAGTAACCCCCATGCCCCTCTTGACCGCCGACTCCGGAAGGTCCACCAATGCTTCTGGCGGAGGATTTTGCGGGGACTTCATAAGGCGAGCCTTGCCCTTCTTGCTCATTTCTGGGGAGGTCTTGGTGTCAGGGGAGTTAACCTTGTGCCACTCCTTCACCCAGTTGTGCACAGGCTTCGCAGCTTCGATAGCGGCCTTTCTAGAAATGTATTCTTCGTGGTTGGTTGTCAAAAACTCGAAGAGTTCAATTTTTTGCTCTGCATCAAAGTGGGCTCTGACGGTGCCCGTAGCGACAAGCTGCGCGCAGTGTTAGAAGTTGTTTCTGTCCTCGGCAACAGGAGCTATTGACTCACGTGCGAACCGCTATCGTACCAGTAGACCAAACTGGACTTTGTGTTCTCAATCCAGTGGCCATCGCCGGGAAGCGGTCGGTCCGTCGTCCCCTTTTCCATGATCAACTGCATGTTCTTGACACCGCTGTCAAAGTGCGTGTGGAAGTATCGAGGAAGTGCGGGGTAGGTTATCTCGTATTGCTTGTCTGCTTGGTCTTCGACGTCGGTGATGTGTACCGAGTGTCGGAATACGCCCTTCGTGGAGAAGAATTGATTGACGAAGCTGTTCCAGTAGGACAGGTCGTCTTTGCCCTTGGGGCCCTGGATTTTCTGTCAGTGAGCTGTGACTGGGTGCTGTCTTTAGTTTCGACTTACGGGAAAGCCGCTCAAATGTTCGCTAAACTGCATCAACTTCAGTAGGCAGTGTCCCTTCATTCCTTCCCTTCTTTGTTGTTGAGCAATAGCCATGCTGTTGGCGACGGCAGCCTGAGCCGCAGCCTGCTGCGCGGGGTTCATTTGTTGCGGTCCAGGTTGGGGAGCCATTTGAGGAGGACCCTGCGGTTGGGCTTGAGGCTGAGGAGGCTGCGGTTGTTGGTTCGGGGCCGGACCCGGAGTCTGAGACGGCGTGGGCTGTCCCGCAGATTGAGGGTTGACGGGTTGTGCGGGTTGCTGCTGTGGTGTCTGATGCGGTGTCTGCTGGGGTTGCGGTTGAGGCTGCTGCGGTCCGCCTTGGGGTTGCTGGCCCTGTTGCTGCTGCTGTTGCGCTTGCTGCTGGGCCTGTTGTTGAGCCTGTTGCTGGGCCTGCTGTTGCTGAGCCTGCTGTTGAGCCTGTTGCTGCTGGGCCTGTTGCTGTTGCATTGCCATCTGGGCCTGCTGAAGGCTTTGCATGTGCTGAGGGTTCATCTGCACCGGCTGGCCAGGCTGTTGTTGGCCCTGTTGCATCTGTTGATTCTGTTGAGCGACGGCTTGCTGCTGGAGAGCGATCTGCTGAGCGAGCATCGCCTGTGCCTGGGGGTTATGCTGCTGCTGTACCCTATCGTAAGCAATGTGAGTACCAAGATGGATATGCGATATTTACCGGCCGCATGCCCTGCCTCATGGCCGCGATCTGAGCTGCGTTCATCGGGTTCATTGGCATTCCCATCGGCATACCATTGACGCCCGCCATATTCGCGTTGAAGGCCTGTTGGGCCATGAGTGCTTGTCGCGCCTGTTGCTGCTGCTGGAACAAGCGCTGCTGCGCCATCTGGGTGGCATGCGCCATCGCCGCTGGAGTTTGGACTACGCGACTTGGTTAGTAGGGAAGCAAGTAGACAAGAAGGCGAGGGTGAGGAAACTCGACGTACAATTACCAAACTGATTTTGCTGGAACATTTGGTTTTGGGCAGGATTGAGATGCTGCAGAGCGTGAGCGTTCGGACCTCCAGCACCCGGCGGCATGCCGCCCATCAACTGATTTGGATTAACCTGACCACCAGGCCCTGATACTGCCATGTGCATCTGGTGAGGCATTCCTCCGCCCGGGCCTTGCTGCCCTGGGTTGTGAGGCATACCCTGGGCCATGGGGTGCCCGGGTACACCTGGATGCTGTTGCATACCGGCAGGATGGCCTGCAAAAGACGGTCCCATACTCGTCATCATGTCTTCGGCGTGTCGATGATCCACAGCGTGGATATCGACGTGTCTTCCCTTCGTACTATCTCATGCGCCTGCGTGCAAAGGTGGTCTATCTCGACAACGATCGTCAATCGGGGCCGCAAAGGTACGAAGAACTGGAGCGGCCGGAGTTGCGGAGATGGGCGCGACGCGGAAAGCGATGGAGTCGTGATTTGCAAGACGCGGGAAGTGGTGTCAATCGCGTGGTGCGGGTGCGGGCGGGCTCGACTAGCGTTATCGATTGCGATAGGAGTCGTTGAATGCGAACGGCCGGGTCAACAGGTGAAGAGGGACTGAGAAGGCATCGATGATCGGCGTGACGACAACGGTGGGTGGGCGATATTGTGGTAAGAGGTCGGGGTGCGACGACAAACGACGAAAGAAGTGGAAGTGAGATGTAGGGGAGGTGAGATGGCGGGTGGGTAGGTGCCCTGCGACCAAAGGAGAGCCCGACAGAGTGACGGGGAGAAAGTTGGCGTCGGCAAAGACGTGGGCGACTAGAGAAGGGAAAATGGGTTGGTTGTCTAAGGTAATCTCGAAAGGATGGGTACGACGGACGCAAAGACGTGTCGACGTTTCGCGCGATAGCGAAAGCGAGCGGAATAGAGGTGGGAATCTCGTGAGAGTGGACGACGGATGCTTCAATCGACCAGTGTCGATGACATTCGGAGAGCGGGTTGGTTCGAGATGCCCAATTTTTTATTGCACACGTCGAGCGCAACGAACAAGCCTTTCCGCGCCGCCTTGCCTTGCCAGGAAAGCGGGAAGGAGGGAGGGAGAGAAAGATTTGGGGGGGTTTTTTGGAGGTGGGTGAGTGGTACGGTACGGTACGGTGCGGTGCTGGCAGGCTGGCTGAAGAAGAACAGACGCAGAGACGACGCAACCAAGGGGAACTGGGAGAGAGTCTGGCTGGGTCTGCTGAGCTCTGGCTCTTTTGCACGCGGGCAGCGGAAACCCAAGTGATTTGCTTTGGAGGTTGGCTGTTTGGGGTGGTAATGGAGGAATACCGTTTTGCAATTAAGCAGTACTACGGAACGAGATGAGTTTCCGGAGCCCCGGTAGACTGGAACAAATTATAAAATAAGAGGCTTCAGTCAGGGGTGTTTGAGGAGGAGTAGGAGGCGCTCCAAGTGGTGTTGTAGAGATGGGAGGTTGTATGCGTATTCCGCAGAAAGGTTGAACTGCGAGGCTTCAAGTTGCTGCCAAATCTAAACCCAGAGGCCGATCAAGAGACAAGCAATGAAAGCAGTGAGAGAGAAGGTGAGGTACGGAGCTAAGACGAGGCAAGGTACAAGGCATAAGGCATAAAATGGCGGGATAAGGTCGAGGTCGAGCGAGAAAGAGAGAGAGAGAGAGAGGGCCCTGGGGAACGGGAACAGAGCAGGGACAGAGAAGCGTGAGGTGGGCGGGCGACCATGCCAGAATGTCAGGCTGCCGCTGCCCTCTGCTCCCGTCGGCTTCGGGAGAGTGGGTCTGATCGTTTTGTAGGATACGCTATGTAGCAATGAGACATTTGGAAACATGGATATGCCGGAATAGGGTGGCGGGAAGCTCCAGAAAAACGCGGGATATGTACTTATGAAGAAGAGTGGGAGGGCTGCGATCAGCACTTTTATGCAACAAGGCAAGCTTCTTCAGCAATATCCACCCAGGGGTCAAGCAGTGTAGCAGAAATGACCAGCACAGCAAAAGCCCACCTCACCTCACCTCACCTTACTGCTCAGCGCACGCAGGAGAGTTCGGGCCGGGTACCTAGGTTGCCTCCAAGTCTCTTTTGCTGCCATCTTCTCACCATCGTCCTTTCAATTTTGCCCTCGCTGGACCACACCCCGAATTTCCGCTGCAATGGCCTCCACGGCAGCAAAATGACAAATGTGCGAAAATGACAGCGCTAGAATCGCGTAGACCTGCCCATCCTCCGCCTGGGTTTTGCGTTCGCCAATGGCCACCACGTGTCCCCCGAACCACCCGGTCACTTTTACTTGCTCGACCCCATCACACACGTACTGGAGCACGGGGAAAAGAGAGGTGTAAGAGGTCATCTCACTCGCGACTTCCCCCCCCTTCCTCATCTGGTGACATGAACCTTGGGAAAGGGTCCAATGAGCTCAATCTAAATCCTTCTTTGGCGGGGATCGGGCACTACGGCGAATATCTCCGAGCTCCAAGGTCACGTGGTGCATTGCGACTCTAGCTTTCCTCTAATACCCACCAAAACTTTCTCGGACCCGACCAGAGATCCAAGCTCCAGTCACGTGAAAGCAAAGTGGATCCATTCGTCCAAAGGGTCGGGTGGCCGCCCGCCAGGGGAAAGGAAAGGAAAAAAAAATAATCTTTGAGGCTGTGTCCCCACTCTTTCCTTCGTGAGCCTCATCTATAAAATCTCTTCTCCTGCACGTCAAACCGTACTTCTCGTCACCTCTGGGCAACCAACTTCTTCTCACGCCACCCTCTCGCATCGACAGCCAGGACCGCACTCACGCTGCATTTAGAGATCGCAAGCTTCATTTCAAGCTTTGCTGTCGATTGTTTGCGCGCGCGCGCTACCTGGCTGTCGCTGCGACGACCCGCGTACAGGTAAGCATCACATTTTATCTTCTTCAACACGGCTTTCTCCCACAATCTCTCCGAATGATGACATTCAAGAAACATTGTCTTCTTTTCCCAACCGAATCGACCATGAAGAAACCTAGTCTGTTCGGGTTCCCCTCGAAAGGAACCTGTTACTTGCCAGTATATTCTGTCTGACACGATCATCTTCACCCTTCATCAGCACTTGGGCATCTCTTTGCCTGCCATGAGGAAACCTCGCTGACAAAAATGTGAATTCAGGGACACGGGCGCAACGCTGCTATACTTTCTCCATTCTCTCTCTCTCACTACTAACCTTTCAAGCATCTCATTCATCAACCTCGAGTCACAAGGTTAGTACTTCCTCTATCCCTCCACACATCAACGCAACAACAACTCCCACATCATGATGAAATTTCCACTTGTTCGCAGTTTTCACTCGAGTCGCGGCCTGAGCCTTAGGCGGGAACGCTTGCAAAAGCGTTTCTTAAGCGACGTATGAGGGCTAACACTTCCTTGGATGTCTGATTTCTTGTCACAAAAACAACCGTTTTTTCCTTCCCAACAAACTTCACCTTTGCTCGAACGCAAGCTAACAGGAGTTTCAAGAATAGGACACTTCCTTTGGTACGCTGTTGTGCTTAGCTTGCGTGCTCTTCTGGACGCGGCGCGACATAGCTATTCAAATAAAATGAAACTTTTATCCTTGCAAGCCATCCCATTTCTGCTTTCCTCGCCGTGACCCGTGAACATGATGTATGCGGGAGACTCTCAATTCTCTGTGGATCTTGGCTATCAAGGGAAAATAACACAATACATTCACAAGATATCATTACAATGCGGTTACGCGACGGCCCCGAGCTCGCAGTCGACGCCATATACCGATTTCAATCCCAAGAATACGGTTCCAATACCTGATGGCAGGCAAATCGCAGGACCGGTCATGTATGATTCCTTACCGGCTGATCACTATTACCTGTGACCTATGTATCACACCTCCAAGTCTGACGCGCACGATATCACCAAATGTACTGATCCAAGGTACCACACATATATATATCATCGTCTTTCTTCCATTGTAACTTTTTTGCTTCTCTCTGCTATATCTCGAACAACAAGAAGACAGCCATCCAGCCCCGTCCCCTTTCCACAGGAGTACCATCCCCAAATGCAGCCCAATCCCACTGAAACAAACGCCATCACGGAGGCCGTAGCCATACACCGCGTTATTCACGTCGCCCAAAAAAAAAAAAAAAAAAACGTTCTAAAATCCCACCTACACCCCAAATTGATCCCAAGAGTAAACGCCTCCCCTTTCCACAGCAGGTAAACGGTCGGGTAAAAAAGCACCAAAGCCAAAGCCATCACAGCACACCCCCTAAACAAACCGCCCACCTTAGACGACGCGCAACCCTTCCCTGATAGACTCCGGTATCTCCCTCCGTCTTCCGCCCACGATACCTCTCCTGTTCCTGCCCGTCCGGCCTCTACCAAGCCAATTCAGCTTGAGCAGCCGGCACAGCTCTTCCATCCGCCTGTTCCCCTCGTCGCTGCCGTCGCCCGTGACGCCCCCGATGCTGGCCAGTATGCTCATGCACTGCAACATGCGTCCCACCATCTCGGTAACCTGCTTGGAGTCCTCGACGTTCTGCTCGCGCGTGAACGGGCGCATCTGGCCGTCGCTCCCTCCGCTGGCGTAGCTGACATTGCTGATGGCACGACTGCGTCCGCCGCCTCCCGCGCTTCCGTCGCCTAGGAGCGTCGTCGCGTTCGAGTTATAGCTCGCCACGGACGGATCGAGGCTCATGGCTGTGCCGGGTCGCATCATGCTGATTGCATCCGCGGGGCTCGACGACAGGGCCGGATCCGGCAGCGGAGATGCGAGGGCTAAAGAGGCGAACGAGGATGGGAGGAACTCGAGAGAAAGCCGAGAGAAGATGGCCTTGAGGGAGTCGTAGCGGGGTAGGATGACGATGTCACGGTAGGCCGTAAGTACGATGCGGCGCACATCTAGCACTGCGGATGCGGGACTAACGTACGGACCGCTATCGGAGGACTGTGACTTGACGCCGCCCCAGAATTGACGGGCTTGGTCTGGGTTCATGAGAACGCCACAGCCAGAGAACTCCAGGTCCAAGGGTAGGAAGACGGCCTGCATATAAGGGAGAATGGAAGTGTAGGTAATGAGCCACATCTCGACGAGAGCCGGAATGACTTTATCCTCCTGCGTGCGCCGGAGAGTGTGGTCGAGGGAGGCAAAGCCGGTCGATAAGAGCTCGCGCAAATCCTCGAGAATGATGTTGGGCGACATGCGTTGGATGCAGTATTGAATGTGCAACGTCACCAGCCTATTGAAGTCCTCCACCGGCTGTCGCAAATCTTCACCTTCAAAAATGACGAGCATCTTGGCTTTCAGATACGGCCAGGCATCGTCGAGCGCCATACTGTTGAGGCCGTATTTGCCTGCGTCGATGGGTTCAGAGAGATACGACGACTGATGCGTCAATGTCGGCAGGCTGCTTGGACCTGGCCATTCCGACGGGAGAGAACTGGACTCGACGCCGAGGTTGCTGCTCTCTTTTTCAGTCTTTTTGTCCCTTCGTCCCTTGCCAAACGACGTTGCAGTCGGGGCCGGACTAGGGGGTAAGTTGAAACTGTACAGACTCGAGGGGGCGCTGGGGTCTGTTGGTTTCGAATTGCTCGATGCGGAAGATAGCGGGAGATGGTAGTCATCCTTGAGCTTGTGCTTTTGCCGCGACAAAAAGTGATGCTTCTTTTCCTTTTCCTTGCCCTCCTTCTCCATGGTGGGCGTTTCGGGCACTGCTCTAATGGTTGCGGACGATGCGTTGTTGAGATTGTATATAGATTGACCGCTGGTATCGATGAGACTACTGGTGCTGAAATTCCCTCGTTGTAATGATGCGAGCGCGCTGCCGATCTTGCTCGGGCTAGGGAGCGGTTTGTCTTTAGGGTCGCCCTTGGTGCCGATCTTGACCGGACGGGAGAAGAGCTTGACCTTTGACTTTTCTGGCTTTACCGGCTTCGGATCTGGAATAAGTTGCGGAGGAGGATTGATAGGACTGTGTTGCTGTTGCTGTTGCTGTTGTTGCTGCTGATGCTGATGCTGCGACTGGGGCAAGCCAGGCGATGTCTGCCCCGATCGCGGGAACGCTGCGTTCGCTGCTGCGTTTGCTGCGTTCGCTGCCGTGGTCGCGGCGACAGAATGGCTTCCAAGTAGGCCGTTGTGGTATCCCTGAGTTCCAAAGCCGCTCTCTCGTGGACCGCTTGCCTCGGTCAGGCTTAGCATAGGCGGGCTGAGTGGGCCCCTTCCGCTGCTCCCCCTCCTTGCGCTCTCGGCGTCTCCGTTAGCCGGGTTCGGGACGGTCTGCGATCGCTGTCGAGCGTGCTGTAGCTGCTGGTGTTGCTGAGTGTTTTGGTGTTGAAAGGCTGCCTGCGCCGCGATGTGGCTCGCGGAGAGAGCAGGGCTCGGGTGCTGTTGCTGGTGTTGGTGCTGGTGCTGATGTGTTGAAGATGAGTTGGCAGATGGGTGTGACATGCCCACTTGAGACAGGTTCGAGAGGCTCGTCGAGGGCAGCGTTGAGTCGAACAGGCCGGGCGTCTGGCTGTGCTTCCTCGAGTGACCCTTGGTCAGAGGGCTCGCGGTACGGGCAGCAGCGGCAGCGCTCACACTCCCGCTCAGTTCGCTTCCTCCTCCCGACGCAGGGCCTACAGGACCTCCGGGCGTGGTTCCCGATCGGTGAGCAGTCGGGCGTGAGAAGTTTTGCAGGCTGGCGGTGCTCGAGTTGGCCTGGGCGGTAAACTGAGCATAGATCGGGGTACTGGTAGAAGGGGCGGCGGGCGCGCTCGGAGCGTGAGATCGGGGCTTGACGAAGTGAATGGCGAGGTTCTCTTCGCTCGATGACGACTCGGCGCGGGCGGGCGGTCGTGGACGTTGCGGGTGCGGTGCGGTGGAAGCTGTCGAGCCCGGCAGAGGGCTGAAGCTGCCCGGCGCTCGGGGCGGCGGGGGTCGTGCTGGTTGCATTGTCGTGGATGTGTTAGGGTTCTGTTACATCTTGGGGATTTCGGACGATTCGAGGATCGGGTGGAGGAGTCTTGAAGGTTTGTTCTGTTTGGATCGGTTGGTACAAGTGAAATGGTTGGTTTGGCGAGGGCAAGGGCAGTATGGAAAGGTTGTTCGTCCGGTCGGGCGATCAAGAGCACCTTGAAAGGGTGAGAAGTTGTGGTGGTGGTGGTGGTGGTGGTGGTGGTAGAGGATCGAGAAACCTGGAAAGCTGACAGAAAGGGTTGTGGTGATGTAAGAAGGCCGGGGGAATACGAGGTGAGGGAGGAAATAGGGTGGTTATGAGAAAGCGCGAGGAGTGGATTGCGCCTCACTCTCACAGAGCCGAAGTGTGAGGTAGACAAGGGACACAAAGATCAGCATCAATGCCCTCTGTACGGATACTCCGTAAGGTATTGCTGCGATCCAGTAGGCAATCTACCTTGGCAGTGTCTGTCAGGTACTCCGTACACGGAATGGGCCCCATTGCATCTTACCTTGCCGGTGCCCTGAACGTAATTATACCTGGTTGTCTATCCGTATCAACGTATCGCTTGCCCTCGGTCAGCGGTCGCATCTAGGTAGGTAACTAAGGTACCTAAGGTAAGGTAAGGTATTCAACCCTGCACTATCGACTCTCGTTGCTGAGGAAGCGAGCAACGGGCGGCCGTCTTCGCTTGCGGTGAGCAAATCCCCCCCCAATTACAGTGCATCCAACAACCTAACCCCCGCGGACCAAATCCGGGTCAGCTCCCGTCAGATTTCCCATGTAACAGATGACCATGCTACCTCACTTCACCTAAGGTACCCTGCCCGCCTTCAGATTGTCCTCCATGCCCTGTCCCCCAAAACCAAGGAACAATACCAACCACTCGATAGTCTAGCGCAATTGTGCGGCGAGCCAGCCGTCAGGTTCCAGCGTAATTAATTACTGCCCTGAGTCCTTTTCTTCTGCCCCCACCTAATAGTCCTGCCATGATCCATCCCCCTTGTTCCCACCACTGACGCGCCGCGGGTTGCGACCCTGGCCACGACCTGGGCGGCGCATCCATCGCCCATGGGCTTGAGAAGGGGGGGGGGGCGGTATGCGGGCTGACCTAGTGTAATCAACCCCGCAGTTGTTCCAGGTTCCATCTCCAACGGAACATTGGATTGGGGCCAGCTGGAATGGATGGAGGGACTCGAAGAGGGGCAATTGTTACTTCCAAGCCAACCCCCAACGAGCCGCACCGCTCAATTTTCGTCATAGCCGTTTTTTATTCACTTTTTTTGCATCGTCTAAATCAACACATCGCAACCACAGCCTACCTAGCCTAATTGCCTTGCTTATCCAACCTACGAAACCACGGCATCCTGACCTAATAAACAATGGCAGACACAAACACAACCGCCGCCGCCGCTCCGGCCCTCCAGTTCTCAGCAACCTACCAATCCCCCGCAAACGAACCCTTCACCTTCTCCGAATCCCTCCCCGCCCCGCCATCCTCCGCGCCCGGCGACAAGTCCGCCTACCTCAACGCCCTGCGCAAGTCCATCAACGCCGCCCAGGAGCACATCAATAAGGAACTCACCGCCCGCATGGAAGAGGACAAGGCCAAGGAGGCCGCAAAGAACGGTGGCAGCAGCACCACCACCGCAACCAAGTCTGCTGTTGACGAGGCCCTCGAGGAGGAGAATTACGGCGAGGAGGCACCTCCCTCAGACGACTGAAGCGACACTTCACCTGGGGGGGAAGGTATAAAAAAAAAAAAGAATTCCTTTCACGGCGCCAATCGTACATTCTGTGCCACCTATATACGGGGTATTGCTGTATCATGCTGCCGCTCTCAAGAACCCAAGGCTATGCGAGTACCAATATGTACCAAGAACAAAAACACAAGCAACGACACCAACACGCCTCAGACTACCGTCAGTCCGCCCGCCCGCCCGTCTCTTGCCCGTCCTCGATCACGAAAACCTTCGAGCCCAGTTTCCTGCCCGAGAGCTTTGCGGTCGCTGCGACGTTGCCTTGTTGAAACACGCATAATGGACCACGTTGTTGTCTGGAAGAACCGACACCACGCTTCGCCCTAGTCTCTTGTGGCACGCGCCACATAACCGCTCTTCAGTGATTGTAACCCTTCTGTTGCGCCCACCTTGTCCGCCAGGTATGCCGTCGCCGAGGAGCAGGAGCGCTTGCGTCGATACCAGCTCCGTGTCTCGCAGCCGAGCTACGATGCGCGACTCGTTTACGACGCTGTTAGCAGACCGAATTCTGCCACGGAAGTAGGACTCGAGATCGCGAACAGGAAGGTCGTCGGGAATCAGAGAGAGAGTCGATGCTGCCGGTAGACGCGATCCGTGCCTCGACAACAGCTCGAGGGCCGGGTCATGTGCTGGTTTATGCGGTGGTGGCGGAGTCAAATATAGCGAAAGAAGGGTGTGGTAAATGGATGGAACCGAATCCTCGGGATCGTCTGCCGATGATGGGCGTCGTGACTGGTCTGGAGACGAAGGCCTGGAGTCTCTGGACTTATGTACGATATTACAATACCTAAAAGAAGTGGTTAGCCACGGTCACATGCCACCCGCGATTCGGTACTCACTCTTCGGCTTTCGCGTAATTCTTCATCTTGAAGACATAGATTTCCAGTGCCTGCTTATGCGAGCCCATGTTGCTCAACACTATGGCTTGAGCTTCGTAGAAAGCAGGATCTTCACCGTGTTAGTTGTTACGGGTACAAGCCATCGAGGGCATCAACTTACCGTCACGTGGGATGAGGCTGAATGCCTTGCTAAGACTGTACTGGCTGCTGGTCTTGAGGAACTGCACGAAACGATCCATCTCTGCATCCCATTCATCGTCACGTTTCTTTTCCTTCAAGTGCTTGATAAAGAGCTCTACCAGACGATTGTGGAAATCCGGAGTCGACTCGTCAAGCTCGGAGATGATGTGCTCCAGATACTGCACCTCTAATCCTGGATCGATCCCGCCCAGGAAGCGAGCGATCCGGCCACGAGGTAACGTCTCGGCGTTTTCAGAGTCTGCGATAAACACTTCCATGGCCAGCTTTGGATCCGCTTTGAGAGTCCATTCCGAGTATTGCAGGATGAGATCAATCTCAGACGGCGGCAGTGTCTGAAGATAGATGACTGTCCTTTGAGGCCCATGCAAGCCCGGGGCAGCCTCATCCGGTGTCTCGGCAGTTCCAAAGCGCTTCAAAAGTTCAAGCGCCTGCGAGTGAAGCTTCTTGCCGCTGAAGAAGTCGACCAACTCGTTATATCGGCTGTGTGAAAGCAGTGCTTCGTTGACGACGTCTGGATCGCAAAAGTTCGGGAGGCGGAAAAGGGGCCCAGCTAGAGCAGGTCTGGTCATCATGTAAGTCCGGAACAAAGCGGTGTCAACAATTCGCGACGTCCTCCGGATCTCTCCCTCGAGTTGGCTCCCTGATTCATCGTCGTGCGAGCCGGACATGAAACTCTTCATCGTCTCTTCGTTCGAGCCATTGGTGTCTGTCCGCTTCAGCTTGCCAGTGCTCGGGTCGATGACCCTTTGTAAACGCGTTCTTGTCCCGACAAGATAACCAGCTAGAGATGTGACAGCAGCCAAGAGCTCCTCGCCTTCAAGCGGCTGGTTTTCGGTGGGTTTGCTTCTGATGCTTCCAGTCTCTTCGACGTCTATTGTATCTTTCTTGGATATGATCGAGGCAGCATCAGGTTGCACCGCCTTGCGCGAACCCATGAATAACTTCGCAAAGCCAACGCCTCCTTTTGCCGGGGATGCGGGTGTTTCCGCTGCATCTTCCTTGGGCTTATCCCCATTTGTTTTCTGCTGCGGTTCCTCCTCACTCTCCTTCTCATCGCTGCCAGATTCATCCGGTTGCGCTCCGTGCGCCCACCCAGACATCTCCCCGGCGATGGATGGCGGGAAAAGCTTGAGAACTCGCTCAGGTGGTGCGTGAACATCGTCCTCATTGAAAAGATCCATGGAGTCGTAAAACTTCTTTTGCTTAAACAACATTTCAGCCTTGAGCATCTTGACCTCTCGGAGAGTCTCCTTCTTGTTCCGGAGGAGGGCGTCCTCAAGCATGTCAAGGATGCTGACGGCCTCGTCGTATTTGCCCTTTTCTACCAACTCGTCGATTTGCGAATCGTAGTCGGTAGCCCCCATTTTCCAAACACATCGGTCGCTGGAAATGTGAAACCCCTTGCCCGCGTGAGCGAGACTAACATTAGGTGGCGGAAAGTGAAGTTGCGCCGCGCCTGGGAGGGGTATGGTCTGCAATAGGTGCAACGTCTCTGGATTCCTGACTTCAAGCGAGCCTTTTGACGGAGCTTGCAAAGCCAGGATGTATGGGTACGAGTAGCCGATCTGCTCAGGAGCCGCTTGCCACGGAATTTGTCGTTTTTCAACCGGCTTTCCTTCGTCCGTAATGAACATGGAGTTGATGTCTTTGGCCAACAGAAGCTCGCCCTCGGCCAGCTTCGCAGCGAGAGGCTTAGGCATGTATCCTCCGAGTCCCATGTAGCCCATTCCAGCACTGCTCACCGCTCCGAAACGACTAGCCTGCCCGCCTGATGCCGCGGAGCCTGGGCTGTTGATATCCTCGACCTCATGGGTGACTACGTCGACCAAAACGTATCCCGCGTTCATTCCGCATACGATCTTTGTCGCGCTGGCCCATGTGACGGTTCGTATCGATTCCGGTAATGTGACTTCCCCAACATCGGCGCTCAACTCGCTTTCGTGCCAGCTCCATAGCAATAGTCGACGGCGGACAGCCACCGCCAAGCGACTTATAATCTCTGGTATTCCGGTTGCTGCATCCTTCACGATGTTTGATGTGACGGCAAAGCAGGTGGCGTTCTTCGTTCGTGAGAGGGTCTCTAGGGGTTCATACGTTCCGAGGTCGTGGAGGGATACGTAGTAGTTCGACAACGATACAAGAGTGTTCGCCTCTTTGATGACGGCGAGCTGCTCAATCGCCCTGTTGGAGAACTTTTCTATCTCGCGCAGCAGGTCCGTAGGTTTCTTCGGCTGTTCGGTCGTCGGGTTGGTTTCGGTTGCATCTTGCGCACTCGCCGTAGTAGGTTGAGAGGAGCCATTGGCCTGGGTTGGCGATGGGGGCGGTAGCTCGTTGAGACGGTAAATGCGAAGAGCTCCGCTGTTGAGGCCTACGAAAACACGATCGCCTACGTCAATTCGTTAGATGGGGCTGCTCTGGTGAGATTATGTGATTCGGGAAGAGCGCACCATGCGCGAGGATTGTCTCAATCTTGGACTTATCCCGTTGCTTTAGCTCTATGATCGGCCGAGCTGTAAATGCCGAAAGCATGGCGACTGCCAGCTCACCGAGCGGATATGTTGTGGGTTTACTATACCCTCATCAGAAGGGTGTTTAGTAGAAGGAGCGCCGAGTTTGTCACAGTAAAGCGTCAAGATGCGATCATGACGGCGCGCGTGTGTGTGAGAGAGAGATTGTTGAGCTCCAGGTATCGGTTCGGGTATGGCTGGGCGAAAGTGCGCCGTCTGGCGGTACGTCAGGGCGAAGTCTCCACAAGGGAGCCGATGACCTCTTTCTCTGCCCAATCCGGACTAGCGCCACTGCCACCCTTCCACCTGGAGCAACCTGTCTCCACCTCCTTCAACCTGTGCTGTTTACAGAACGTGATTGGCTGGCGAGCTTGCCGGGGTTCGTAGAGCATATTGGCGTCACATGCATAGAAGCTTACTTTCAACATCATTTCATCTTCTCTACGTCAGAACATCACGCCTTTCCTCTTGAATGCCAATAGGTATCAGCTGAAGCTAGGATATTCAGCAGAAAATTGAAAAATTATCCGGATCCTTGCCTGAGTAAACGCTTCGCATTACCATTCTATCGCTTACTCCAGTCTACCTTACATACAAACAGAGAACAATAAAGGCTATCAACCAGAAACCAGGGAAAAGCCAAGTGTAATGTGTGAACCGGTGTCTATGTTCCAACCGCAGGCTTCCCTTTGGAGACCCTTTGGATTTACGCCCTTTTCCAAAAAAAAATCGAAGGAATCGCAGCCCAGCATTTTTTCTCCTTTCAGGCATACGATGCAAAAACCAAAGACCAAATGCATGTACGTAGCGATCACGTCAAGACAAGACCTTAGTCTAGCCCAGCGACCCTCATCAGGCCATATCCCAAAGACACGACAACAACCAGTGTCAGAACACTGCTGGGCACACCTCGGCTGATGAAATGTTTCACTTGAAGGTATCTCTGCCCTGTCGGGTCTTCCTTCATAATGGCAGCTGCATCGTTGGTCAGTAATCTGCCGATGTTGGGAACGCTGAAAAAACTTACTCATGTTGGGGAAACCACTTGTCGGCAAGCCCATAGCGGCACTGCACATCAAAACGCCACCCATGACCAACAGGTTCGGGTGGGGTTCGTCCATGTTGGAGCCAACATCAAACACCAACGGCAGGATAATCAAAGCTGCGACCGTGTGGCTGATGAAAGTGGCGATGACGAGGATAAGGGCTGAGAAGACAACGAGGACGACGTAGAGACTCATACCCTCAACCTCCTTGGTAACAACGCCAGCAACCGTGTGCAGAAGACCAGATGACTTGACGGCTTTACCCAGAGACAAGCCTCCGGCAGCCAGGATGATAATAGTCCACGGGAAGTTGTTGAAGTCCTCCTTGGTCAAGATACCAATGCCAAAGAAGAGGACGATGGGGATGATGGCAATGACACCCATGTCACCAAAGATGGACTCCATCTGGTGGCTACCGCACCAGAGGCCGATGGTGATGAGCGTGACGATGGAGACGAACCATTGGATGCCTGTGAACTTTTCCTTCACAGGACGGATCGGAGCAATGGTAGTTCCCTTGCTCGGTTGGAACGTGATCAACAGCAAGATCCAGATGAGGAGCAACGAGACGATGCCGACAGGGATGACGATGAAGAACCACTGAATCCAGGTAGGCGCGGGCTTCATGATACCAATAGCGACGACGTTCTGGGGCGAGGCAATAGGGGATAGCATACCGCCGATGTTGGAGGCGAGTGCGATTCCCATGATGACAGCCTTGGACATGTTTGACTCTGAAGGTAGGGTCCGCAACATGGGCTGCAGCACAAGTCAGTGATGATTCCCAACAGGGCTCTAGAGAATGAGGGGAAACTAACCTCTATGATGGAGAAGCAAAGAACTGGCGCAGCGACGTTGCTGATCAACATGCTGGCAAATGCCGCCACGAGCATGTTGGCAATGAGCACAGTGCGCGGGGTGGTTCCGGCCTTGCTCAGGACAAAAGTCGCGAGCCGCTTGTCAATCTTGCACTTGGAGAGAGCCGCAGCCAGGGTGAATCCACCGAGCAGAAGCATGATGACGGGTGTCCACATGGCCGAGAAGATGTAGGCTGTGGTGGCCTTGGCATCAAGCCTCCGGTAGGGCTTCTCTTCAGAGCGAACGACAGTCAAAACGACGCAGAGGAAGGGTATCATAAGCGACGTAACGAACAATGGAATGGCCTGTCTTGAGGTTAGCATCGATCACTTGAATTCCATCCAGTGAGAACTCACCTCCGTAGCCCAAAGGATGCTGACAAACACAAGCAACGCCAAACAGTTCTGTTGCTCGGGCTTTTCCATGATGGGGAGGAAAAGGAGAAGGAGGAAAACGCCGACAGCGATCAGGAGAGTGAGCAGAGGCGTGTTGGCAACCCACGTCGGCACAACAAAACGGCCCACAGGAGTGACGACCTCCTTGGTGATTGGCGCAAGCTCATCATCGCCCTGCAGTCGCCTAGATCCCGTCGCTCCATCCCTTCCCAGAAGCCCTCTGCCCAAGCTCGCAGCCTCTGCGCGACGCTCCATACCAATCATGTCTCGCCAGACAGTGTTACGTTCCCAAACAACGTGTTCGCGGAGGTGAGATCGCAGGTCTCGCTTGGCAAGTCCCTCGTCGCCCTGGGTCACAATCTCGGCATACGCCTTCTCCATCTTGGAGATGTTCTCCTCGATAGTCTTGATGTTTTCCGGCTTGAATGGGTATGCAGAGTCGATGTTGGCAGTCATGTACTTGACCCGCAGCTCCTTGTCGAGAATCTTGTCGAATTTCTTCAGGACTTTTCTGAAACCCGTCCGGTTCAGTTGAACGTACGACTTGAGCTCGCAGAGCGAGACGTAGAGGCTGATGATGCGCTTCTTGAGCATGATGCCTGAGGAGTAGAGGAAGGTCTGATCCGGCATCTCGTCGTTTGCCGTGCTGTACCGCCGCAGCGATCTTCCCAGCGTCAGCTCGGTTGAAGCGGTCATATCAGTGACCGAGTGGCCCAGATTCGGGGCAGTCTTGCGTCTGCCGCCCCCAAGGCTTGAACGACTCTTCGTCAAGCCGGTGGTTTCGTCGTCTTCCTCGTCATCGTCACTATCCTCCATGTTGCCGTCGATCGAAACGGAAGTTCTCCTGCCGTTGACCGATAGTCCCGGCCGGGAGGCGCTGCCGAATGATCGCCTGGGTTCGCCATCGTTTTCGTCATCCTCTGAAGAGTGGTTGCCAACATCTCCCAAGAGTTGATTGACTTCGTCGAGGAGCTCGCCCTCCTTGGATACGTAGAAGGAGCAAATCTTCTCCAATTCTACACCAAGCGCACGGCTAAACACATCTTCGGGTTCTTCGTTTCGAATAAGAGGCCTTGATTCGGCGTCGCCTGAGGAGGTTTGGTGGACTGTCTTCTCGAGTTGGTAGATACTGCAATGCAGAATTAGTTAGTTACCTAGGCCTCAAGGACATGGCTCGGCCAGAGGAGGTATTGGGTACTCACAGCTTCTTGAGGTTGCTGTAGGCAATGTAATGACTGCTCCAGTCCGGAACAGCATTGAACTGGATGCTGTGTGAGAATTTCATATCGTCCTGCTCGTCGAGCCACCTTCTCTTCCAAAGTTTTTTCTCTTCTCGTCGGGCTTCGAGGTCCTTTGCGGCCTTCTGAGCGGAGATGTTTTTGTAGTCGGCAAGCTCGTAGCTCTCAGCCTGAGCAACGGTGGAGTTACTGCTACTGTTGGTGGAGCTCCCTCCCCGTTCCCGAAGGCCTGTAGAAGGTTTATCGAGGTCAATTAGGACTTGTGGGCTTGCAGTGCCTGCTTGGTGGGTAGAGGAGGGATTACGGAGATCTGCTGGGGGCGGTATGGTGGCAGAGGGTCGCGTGCGACTTCTTATCGGGCGATTAGTATCGGTATCGCGAAGCTGGTTCAAAGGGTCGAAATGGTGTTTAAGCTACTTGAATAGCATCCCGCGATTTCCTGGTGGCTGCAACACGTGGGGAAAGCGTTGGTCGACCTATTTCCCAGCTTGATGTGCGAGCCGCGTGACGATATAATTGGTTTCATTTGGGATTAGCGTAATCCAGTTCCACGGGCTGCCGTCTCCCAAACGAATAGTGTCGATGCCATTGGTTCCTCGCCGCTCGGATGGAGCAGACAGATGGCTCCAGGTTTGCGCCATGGCTTATGTAAGGCAGTGACGTGACTCGCATATGCTTCTATGGAGATACTGGAGATAGGGCCATAACCGTTCTCCCACCTAACCTTTACTGAGTAACCTTTCCACTACCTTACCTGATTCTAAACATCCCTCCGCCTTGACATGTAGTCCGCGAAAGTGGAATACCATTTGTTCCTTTCTAAACATCTGCTTCCTTATCTACCTTTCTTCTATCTCTAGTGCCCAAAAAAACATGTTTCTAGATGTAAAGTCTAACCAAGTCCAAACCGATGTCTATCGTTTATAAGAATATCCTTTCCAACAAAGCTGACTTCTAAACACAAAAAGCTTCGCGCAAGGGTATCATTTGTTAAATGGTACAGCTTCAACAAGTAGCAATAGTACACCGCTTCTCAAAATAAGTCCCGGAGTCTCGCCCGGAATCGCTCGCAGTTGTACTGGAGCCAAATCACAAGTGGGATGGTGGAGACAGCCGCCGCCGTGATGAGCCACTTGGCGCTACTGTTGCTGGTGAGAGACTCAAATGCATGCTCTAAAAGGGGAAACAACGCTCCAGAGGGGTATCGTAAAAGTGCAAGTGACGCGCTCGACGCAACGGCGTGCTGCGGTGACAGGTCGATGATGTACACAGCCGAAGTCATCTACAACGAGGCTCAAGTCAGTTGTCGTTGGGTCTCCTCGCCGTGGCCTCGGTTTCCGTGCCCCCGGTGCTCGGTCTCCGGTCACATATCTGACTCTCTACGGAGTACTGGGACTGAAAGATGGTAAACTCACAGTGATGGCAAACAATCCGCTGCCAATAAGGTAGTTTCCAAGCAGGGGCACCAGGTAGGATACCCCGGGCCTCGCAGCCATGTTGTAGATGATCAGACCGACCACAACAAGGATGGCTGCCAGGTTGAGAAGTGGGAGCCGGTGCTCAGGCAGCCTTTCTCCGTCGCGTGCTAGCCTCCTCACGACGACGTCGGTGAGGAACCCAAAGATGAGAAGGCCGGTGAACATGCCAACCCCCATGCCCGCGAATGCCAGGCCTGCTTCTGCGGTGTTAAAGGAGTACACTGCCTTGTATGTCATCGGAACGTCGATGTACAACCACACCTGAAGGCCATAGAAGAACGATGTTACCAGGATAGCCGGCAGGATGCTCGGCTCCAAGATGAGGGAGAATGGGCGGAGCGCGGCCTTGCAGAGCAGCTTCCTGAGAGACTGCTTCGGGGCAACGGTTTTCTCATCGCTCAGTTCCATCTCGAGGTCATCGGCACCTCCCAACAAAGCGTACTTTCGCCGAAGGACCGGGAGATATGTCTCGCACATGAACTGATAAGTCAGAAGAGTGCTGATCAAGCCCTGTCTCACTTGTCAGCATGCCACCCAGGGTTCACACACGTTGTTGGAAACTCAAAACGCAGCCCTGGGCCCTTATCAAAAGCCTCCCAGGACGCCTTTTTTTTTTTTTCTTTTCCTTCCACGAAACGATGCTCACGAAGACGGCAGTAGAAAAGAAGGTATCTCACCATCAAAGCAAGAAACCCGAAGCAACCTCTCCATCCCCAAGCCTGGGCAATCGCGCCCCCGAGGGCCGACCCAACCGCAGGACTGCAGACACTCCCAAACGCCATGACCGACATGGCGCGCGCACGCTTCTCCTTGGTCATGACGTCCGTCGCCGTCCCGGTGCCCTGGGTAATGGGGCTCGCGCCGGCGCACCCGGCCAGAAACCGGAAGACGATGAGCCACTCGGCCGATGGCGCTACCATGCAGGCCAAGTTGCACGCGAGCAGGACCACATTGCAAATCTGGTACACGGGCTTCTTCCCAAACGTCTCGCTCAGCGGTGCGAGGAGCAGCGGTCCGGCGGAGAAGCCGAGGACGTAGGCCGAGACCGTCAGGTCCGCTAGCGTGGGGTTGTCCTCGATCTTGAAGTCGCCAATCACCTGGTCCAACGCGGGGGTATACACTGCAGAAGCCAAGGGTCTGGAAAAGAAAAAAAAAAGCGCCGTTGTCGTTAGCGTTTTTTGGTTCTTAGTTTTCTTCGCGGTAGCAGCGGCGCGAAAAGCTTCTTCCCAGAAAAAGCGCCACTGCATGTCAACCATGTGGGCAGGGTAGGTTAGCCACTTACGTGACGCAGGTGATGAACGCTACCACCAAGACGTGCGTCCACTTCTTCCTAGACGACCACAAGACCGGGTCGAAGGGTTCACGCTTTTCCAGTTGGGACGTCTTTGGCGCGAGGCGTTGATCGGCAGTTGCTTTCGCATCCGCATCCTCGTCCTCGTCGCCCTGCTCTTCCGCTAAGAAGCAGGTGACTTCCTCTGGGGTTTTGTCGTCCGAAGACCGCCATTCTGAACTCTCGACCGCTTGTTTTTCGGCAGGTTGCGGGCCTTGTACGGCGCCGAGCTGGTTTGATGGCATGCTTCTTTTGTGTTGTTGGGTAGGGCGTTCGGACGTGACGTAGAGCCCCGTCAATGTCGCGAGAGCTTGCTGATCTTTGCCTTTTGACAATCGGTGATGGTTTGGTCAGGAAAGTATGCAAACTGGGTTCGGCCAAAATCTTGTATGCAGCAGACTCAGGAAGAAGAAACACGATACGTTGTCACCGCTGTTCGCTGCTTTGTCTTCTCTATGCCGAATACAGAAACATCGAAAAGGGGGATGGTAAGTAGGGAAAATCCCATCTCGCTGAGAGTCTGAACGAAGTCCGGACTGTTCGGCTTCATGGAGGGCCCTTGGCGTTGAGAGGCGTATCAGATTGGCCCCTCAATGTTGCGTACGAACTTTAAATTCTAGCTTGCAAAGTGGTTTCATTATAGCAGCGTAGCATTGCATAAGCCGACCAAACATTGCGTCTTGCGCTTCACATGTCGAATACAGATCTGGAGACCATGTCCTGGCCATCGTGTAACCGTCGAGGTAAGCGATGTTCCGCCGCCTCAACTGTAAGGGTTGTATGGCGCCCATTCATACTTTGGCTGACTACGCAGTACAGACTTTTTACTCGACCTGGATCTCTCACTCATGAAGGGAACGTCAAACTGACCCCTCAGAAACGGCGGCTTTCTATCAGACGACGAGAGCAACCCTGATGCGGGGGATAGGAACGGTGCGGCGGCAGTTGTAGTTGAGGTTCAGTAAATGAGACAATAAAGATGACACGATCTTCCACCACAGGAGGAAAGACGCTGGCTTATGCGTACTCGCCACCAAACCAGCTCGACACTCTCTTCGTACGACGTTGCGACAACCTCAGAATAGGTTCCGGGTGGATATCGGCCTCCTTCCTAAAGCGGAAATAGAAGTGATCCACTTCAGGTATAGCGCTGGCCCGGGCTCTCCCCTCGGACTCTTGCCAAAGATGGACGCCCTAGAGAAAGTGTCAGACTCGGCCAAGCCGCCTGTTGGGGATGTGGACGTGGAAAAGAATTCTGAAAAGAGCAACGAAGGTGACAAAAACGTCACGAGTACGCCAAACCTGGACGAGATGCGGCCTAGATTCTTTGACGGGACAGCTACTCTCACAGTAGGAGGCCAAGTGGTTCTCATTCCCACACCGAGCGCGGACCCCAGAGGTATGGTGATGATCTGCTTCTCTGACATTGGTGTCAATCAGTCAACTCACCACAAATTCAGATCCTCTCAATCTACCAAAATGGCACAAACAACTCATCATAGGCATCATTGTCTTGTGTAGGTCATCCTGAACTTCGACTAGGTATCGTGAATGTGAGGGAAATGACTTGACTTACACGAGGCGCGTGCAGACGCAATATCCGGTCTGTGCCTCATCACCGCACTATCCGCACTCATCGTCTTCATCATGCCCGATTACCAACGTGATGGAATCACACCGGATCAAATTTCAAATCTCTTCACATTTCCGAACCTTTTCCTTGGCCTCGGGAATCTCGTGTCGATGCCAATCGCCGTAGCTATAGGCCGTCGTCCCGTCATCCTGGTATCCAACGTGCTGCTCTTCCTCGCCGCCGTCCTCTGCGCAACGAATCGCAACTATTACTGGCATCTAGGCGGGCGTATGGTCGCAGCATTTGCTGCAGCCCAGTGTCAGGCCTTGGCTCTGCTTATTCTGCAGGTACGAGTTCTTTAGGCAGTAAAACCTGGTGTGAGATGTTCTGACTCTGGCTTGCTTCAGGATATCTACTTTCTCCATCAACGGGCACGTGTATTTCAGATCTATGCCTCCGCCGAAGTCCTTCTCAACTCCAGCCTCGTGATTGCATCCTCATACATGGCCGATGCTCTAGGCTGGAGATCCTGGTATTGGCTCTTCGCAGGCCTCTCTGGCCTGGCCATGATTCTCACCTTCTTCTTCGTCCCCGAAACCGCATATGACCGGCCCATCGAGGCGTTCATGGGAAGCCACCCGACCGACAGGAGCAACCTCTTACCAGCAGTACAAAACACCGGTCCCAATACCATCACCAGAAGCCGGTCCCCCGGACCAAAGTACGCAACAGTAGACGAGAGGCCCGCCGCCGACCTAGAACACTTCAAGGAACGCACCTTCACCTCGAACCTGCGCATCTTCGTGTACAAGCCAACCTGGTCCCGGTGCTGGCTCTGCCTGAAACAGATCGGCCAGGTCTTTCTCTTCCCCCATGTCCTCTGGGTCGCCATCAACAACGGGCTCTTCCAAGGCATCGACGTCTCGATACAAATGACGTACGCAGAAGTCCTCGTAAAACCCCCTTACAACTGGGCCAACACGTCGGTGTCCCTCATCCAGTTAGGCCAAGTTCTCATCGCGCTGCTCTGTGTGCCCCTCATCGGCTGGCTGAGTGACTACGTCATCCGCTCCTCCGCGCATCGCAACCACGGCGTGCACGAGCCGGAGAAGCGACTCATCGCGTGGATCCTGCCCATGGTGACGGCTCTGATCCTGACGGTCCTGTATGGGTACGTGCTCAAGAACCCGGAGCGGTATCACTGGATGGCCATCGTCTCCGTCGTCGACGGCTATCTCATCGTGTTGATGGGCGTCAGCACGGTCGGGACGGCGTATCTCATCGATAGCCACCCGAGCTTCGCGGGCGCCATTCTCGTCGCGCTGCCGGTGACGCGCGGTCTGGTGGGCTTTGGGCTCAGCAAGCACACGACGACGTACATTGCCAACATTGGGCCGGTCAAGACGTTTGGGATCTATGCGGCGGTGAGTGCGGCATTCTGCTTGCTGGGAGTTGTCCTGTTCTTCAAAGGGAAGAACGTGAGAAAACTTTGCGCCCAGATGACGCAGTGAATCCATGCAGTCGATGCGACCGGGTCGAGGAGGGGGTTCTACAAGACCCAGGTTTCTCTGGCACGTAGATGCTCTATACTTCATGTACATATTTGAAATACGCTATAGAGACCTGAGATAACAAAAGTGCCTTGAAACCTTGGAGCTTCAAGAGTGCCTACCCAGGGCCACTCGATATGCGATATTTCGAAAAGTAGAATGTGAACAACCAAAAGTGAGACAGGATCTTCGGGCATCTTGGAAGCAGTGTGTCTGAATCAATAAGTCTGGCCATCGGCACATCCCGGGAGAGTGCATGCCTTCTTCCATGTGGATTCTGAGATCGACCGGTGTGTTTACCGGTACGAAGCGGGGGGTCGCGTAGCAGTACATATCGATACACTGGTACCGCTAGTCAGTGTTGCAGGAACTCTTAATTCAAAGGATTTCCATTTCCATCTTCCCTATATAGATATGGCCTCTCAGTCTTGAAAGCACCCTTGGTTGACGGAGGCTGTACGGTCCTTTGTGTCAGCCCATACTTCATGCTCTCGTCTTAGCCGATGAGTGACAGCATCTCCCCAATGAAGGGCTGAGGACCGACCGGCCAAACTACTCATCGCGACACCTGATCCATTGGACACTATTTTCTTTCTCCAGCTTTGCGCCATCAGTACTAACCTGTGTGATGGTAAAGTAATGAAAGACGACAATCCACAGGAAAGAGTACCTCAGAACAGAGGCGACTGCAATGCGATACTTTGGAGAATTTGCATAGGAACGAGCCAATGTAGTCATCATGAATGACAGCCATTGTTGAATGGTGCTCTGTAAATCGATGTGAGTTGGCAGCTGCTGGCGCAGACAAGGCTGAGTCAGCACCTCACCTTAGTCATCAGCCTTCTTTTCTGCGACGAGATTGTTGACATAGCAACGCGCTGCATAAACACCTGAAGATTACGACCACAACCAATTTATCCCACCATCGCCTGCTGTCCTGTCGCACGTCACATGCAATCGCGATATTCAAAGTACTCGATTGTTCACAGCTGCAACTTCTCAACGAAAAGCCGAATAGCAGAATCGCAAACCCCGAGACAAAATCACCCATCATGTCTTCCGCATTTCGAGAATCGTCGCTATCCGCCAGCATCAACCGCCAGTCGCTGATGGCGACCCCGTCGGTCGCCGAGACGCTGCCAAACGCCAACTTTGGCTTCGAAGAGCTTCGCGATCGCATGACCAAGTTCACCTCAAAATTTGACGCCTTTATCGAACAGGGTCGCAAGCGTGTTTTGGAGGAGCGAAACGAATTTCGCATGAACGTGGCAGAACTACAAGGTACGTCGGGGGGGAGGGGAAGGGAGCAGCTCGAAATCGAACTCAAGACATTACAAGGCGGCAAGTCGGGCAAGAAAAACAAATGCTAATATACCCTTTGATCCGCAGAGGACCAGCGCATGAAGAAGAAGGACATTGAGATCCTGCAACTCAAGACGAGCACCCACCAACAAACCGTAGCCAAAGAAAAGGCCGAGACGCACGAGATGCAAGCATCGATCGCGCAGCTCTCGGAAGAGCGCGACAAGCACCTGGCGACGCGGGACGCGCTCAAGAAGCAAATCGAAGAGACCCAAAAGGAGATTGACGCCCGGCTGGCAGCGCAGCGGGCGCACGCGAAGCAGCTCGAGGCGCAGTCGCGCTTCAACGTGCCTGAGCTCGAGTTTTGGCAGCAGAACTTGGGTTTGCGGATCGAGGGCGCGGGCAAGGACGACCGGCTCAAGTTTGTGTACACGTATGTCGACGACCAGGACTGGGAGCGGGAGGCGTGGTTCGAGCTCAACACGGCGAGCCGGGACTACGACGTCAGGCACTGCCGGCCCAAGCTGGAGCGGGAGAGGGTGGAGAGGGTGCTGGATCAGCTTAATGAGACGAGGGAGCTGGCGGTGTTGCTCAAGGGGATGCGGGAGTTGTTCGTGGAGGCGATGAAGGCTTGAAGGAGAAAAAGCTCTGTTTACTGACGAGGTTAACGATCACGATGACAGTTTCTTTCGTTTTTTTCTTTCTTTGCTTTCTTTCAATGGATACCCACTTTGGCGCAGGTTTACCTATTACGCCTACCTTCAGGCCTATCGCAAGTATGGAGCAGTCTCGAAGCAGCAGTACATGTGATTTGTTTTGCGAGTCTAGAATGCACTTGTCGTTCTCGACTAAGGGGTTCTCTTTGTCGATGACCATCCAACATGTGAAATCAGAAGAAAGCGCTCGAGGAGTGTGAGTTTTGTGGTGGCGCATGCATCACAGTAGAACTTCAGCCTCTGGGAGTCCAGAATTCCGAGTCCAGACCGTCGAAGCAGTGCGAACTTGAGGGCCGTCACAAGTTGCATATATCAGACGGGTCTGTGCATAAGAATCCCCTCATGTGCTGGACTTGATGCACAAATCTGGCAGGTAATATTGCTCGTTGGCCGAATAACTTGAGCATCTGTACTATGCAGGGATGACTTGTGCAACTTTGTCCAAGTTATCCGCACCCAAGTTTGTGCACTTCGCAATTCAGAGCACGGTAACGGAGAATTTCACCGCTTCAAGACAACAGTCCAGAGTAGCAGGTCAGCCTCTCTACCAGCAAACTGTAAACTTTGTTCCAACTAAACCACCCAATTTGAGTTTCTTCTCCTCCTCTTCTTGGTCTCATGTTTCCTTCAGCTACACGTGTACGAAGCACGGTATCACGAGCACAAACTGCAAACTTGCAGCCTCTCGCTGTTCGGGTTTCCAAACAGAACAAAAACGAACAAAACTAAAACGTTAGGAATCCTTCAACAAACAAAACTGCATCCCGCCGGAAACTGTGAAGACACACACACAACATACACATCCTTGTCTGCAGCAGAAATGCCCGAGGCTTAGCCTCATTCTTCACAGTCTACTGAGCCACTCATGACTCGGCATCTCGACCCTCCGAACCCGTCCAGCAAGATCTGAATGATTCATTATCTCTCCCTCCCATTCGCCTGTTCCCGTCCCCTTTCCAAGCCTTTCCAAGGCACAACCTATCCGTACGGTTACCCGATCCCCGACCGAAAAAAGAATCATACCATTCCCCCCCCCCCCCTTCTCTCGTACTACCAAAAAATTCTCCTGCTGCCCAGAGCTCCGCTGCACTGCTGGTCACCATAGGAAGCCTGTCACCTGTCACTCAACCCCCTTGTACTAACAGAACGAGGATCGGAGGACGTGACTGGACTGGACTGGACTGGGCCAACGGGCTTCCCAAAGAAAGAAAAAAAAAAAAAAAGAGGCCCCCGAAAGCAAGCAAGGGCCCGGCCGCAGAGTAAACCAGCAAGGGGCCCAACCATCATCTTCCCAATCCCGGATTCCAGTACTCCGTCCATATCCCACTCCTCTGTGCCGATCCACGCACTTGACGGTAGTACGGTACGGATAGGCCTATGCCTCTAGCCCGTCGCTGCCGCTCAATCACGGGCAGCACCGGCTCTCTTACCGAGCCGAGTCCGACCTGAGTTGGAAACCCGGTGACACCGGAGGTGACGCTGCACCAACATCAAATAACCCCCCCTCCTCTCTCCTCCCCTTCCCCCCTGCCATACCGCCCCGCCTCCGCTCCCACCTCCGCCCCCCCACGCCGGCCTTCCGACTTCCCATGGCCTCCGATGCCGTCAACCACCCTAGTCCCGCCGGCTCCGTGGCTTCATCGGTGACCCCCGGCCTGAATTACAATAATAATAAGCGTAGTGCTCCGGACCACCCAAGCCCTCCTGGCCCCGGGAATGCTGAAGCTGTTACTCCGGCCGGCGCCGGCACGTCGCCCGCTTCTCAACCACCCGGCGATTCCAACAAGAAACGCCGTGTCGGTCCTGGCTCCAGGGGCGTCGCCAACCTGACGCCGGAGCAACTGGCTAAGAAGCGCGCCAATGGTGAGCACAAACTGCCCTTGCTCACTCACTCACTCACTCACCTCACCATGCCTCGCTGCACCATGGCTTTTTTCTCTCTGTGATTTTCAGCTTCTATCCCATTGCAGGATTCTTTCGAATCAAGCGCTCGCTGTCGTTACTCCCCGCCCCCCCCCCCCCTTGTTCACTCACTGCATACCACCCTCGTACACACACATCTTTCTCCACAACATTGACTGGCTCCTCCTCTCCCCTCCCACCTGGATGACGACACACCCGCTAACCGAAGTTTCCATCGCCCCCGATCAGACAGGGAAGCCCAGCGAGCCATCCGCGAGCGCACAAAGAACCAGATCGAGACCCTGGAGCGCCGTATCCAGGAGTTGACCTCCCAGCAGCCCTACCAGGAGCTGCAGGCTGTCCAGAGGGCCAAGGAGGCCGTCGAAGCCGAGAACGCGGACCTGAAGCGCCGCCTGGCTGCCTTCATCGCCTCTATCCAGCCTCTCATCTCTGCTTCTCCACCGAGCCAACGTAAGTCCCTTCCTCGTGTTCACATCTCAGTAAATCCATTATGCTTGGGGGGGACGTATCTTTGACTGACACCCATATCAACATCAGCGCCACCGCCGCCGGCAGACCCGCACCCTGCCGTCTTCCCATCCCCCAGCGGCAGCTACTCTCACGTCCACCAACACAACGGGCCCATCTCGGCGCACAATGCCTCGACGCCCAACAGTGCGGCCTCCCCCGCCTCCATCGACCCGACCGCCGGCTGGCAGACGACGCCCAACGGCAGCGGCGGCGGCGGCGGTAGTGGAGGTGGAGGTGCCGTCTCGGACCTGTCTCCCCCGAACCACATGTACGCCGCGAGCAAGATGCTCGACCAGCAGCGGCAAGGGCTCCGCCATGGCCTCGACCTCGGCCCGGAGAGGCTCGGCCTGGACTTCCTCCTCCTTGACCAGAACGCCCGCGTCGGCAAGATCCAGAGCGGCATCAACGGTGCCCAGGACACGCCGAGCTACAACCACGTCCCCATGAAACACGACTGGACCGGCGTCGGCCCCGTCACACACAGCCGGAGCCCCTCCCTCAGCGGACCGACCGTCCACACCCCGCGGTCACAAGTAGACTATCCTCAACAGCAGTCGCAAGGACAGCAACAACAACAACAACAACAGCAGCAGCAGCAGCAGCAGCAGCCATCCTCCGCGCCCCCAGAATCCCGAGCCCTAGGCCACCACACAGCCGAAGTCAAAAACTGCGGTCCAACCTGCCCCCTCGACAGCCTCCTCCTAGACTTCCTCCACGAGCGCCGCCAACGCGCCGCCGACGGCCTCTCGACCCACGAAATCATCGGCCCGCGCTACCCCAGCGTGCTCTCCCTCCTTAACCCGGCCAACAGCAAATACTCCCACCCGCTCTCCAAAGTCTTCACCGACATCCTCGCCACCTTCCCCGACCTCTCGGCCCTCCCGCAGCGCGTCGCCGTCCTCTATATCATGTTCCTCATCATGCGCTGGCAAATCTCCCCCACGCAAGAAAACTACGACCGCCTGCCCGAGTGGGCGCGGCCCCGGCCCTCCCAGCTCTTCACCGAGCACCCGGCCTGGATCGACCACGTGCCGTTCCCCGCCATGCGCGACAAGCTCTGCCGCGACTATAACCCGCGCGAGTACCTCTTTGATAATTTCTTTGTGCCGTTCACCACGACGCTGAGTCTAAACTGGCCGTACGAGGAGACGGATACGCTGCTGCAGGTGCCGGATTCGGACGAGGTGCTTATCAACCCCGTCTTTGAGCGGCACCTGCGGAGGTTGGAAAACTGGACGCTCGGGCAGGCTTTTAACCAGACGTTTCCTAAGCTGAGGGAGACGTATAATTTGAAGGAGTGAGCTGGTTCGGCTTACGGGACTCGGATTACGTTTTGGGTCTTTTGGTGCAAATCTACGCGATGACGAGATATTACGTCCCGGCCTTGGGATCATCTTCCTCACTCGCTTCGCACTTTTCACTCGGTATATAGGGGTCCTGCAAGGGTTTTCAGGGAAAGGGGGAAAATGGGTTTCCTGTGGCGTTCACGTGAGGTATACATCACTACTACGGCGTATCTTTTGACAATAGTCATCATGAGTAAAGCCATATTTCTTGGCTTACCTTGTGTTTCTCACCAAGGAATCAAGGTTAGGAAAGGAGGGGCTTGTCGAGGTACAGGCGGCGGCGCATGGGATGGGGGGATTGGGAAAAATAACACGGCATTTTTATCTTCCACATGTACACAGTTGCTCAATCTATGGGAGACTTCCATCAAGTAGCTTTTGCTACCTTTCTTCGTGTTTGTATTGTGTTCGTGCCCCATGACTTTCGGGTGTGACTCCCGTCATGGCTGAGATTCATGATCTGATAGAAGGCTTCTGGTATGGATCCTGGTTGACTTCAGGGGGTGATGATGTTGAACTCGTGGGCTATCGCCCAATGAGATATCACTTCTTCTCATACTCATGCTTCAACAGACCCCGTCCTTCATCGTCTGGTCAGGCTGAAGAAAGGAAAAAAAATGGTGTTCTTTTTTTGCCTATGACTACTTTGTTCCCCCCAGATACTTTGTTTTTGAGATGTTGTTTCTATATAAAGCTATATCGCGGGCCTTGTGTCTGGAGGCTTTACTCATAAGCCGCCTACACACACCAAGCGCAAACATAGACTCGGAAATCTTGACATTGCAAACTCAAATGCCGAAAACCTATCTGACCTTAAGAAAAAGAAGCACGCAGCTCCCGTCATTAAATGCGGCAAGGCACACGCACATCGGGGCACATGGTACATCAAGACATGTCTTCACAGCAGTAAAGCTCATCCTCCTCCTCAGATAGATACAGATTTGTGTATGTTTAGTGAATCATACCTAGGAGATCGTCTTGTGGAAGCGGATCCTTACACTCACAAAGTCCAGTTGGTGCCGCATTACACACACGGTCCATACCAAGAATCTCCTTTATTCACAATCCGTGTCAAGGACGGCTGACTCTCCTCGGGCAACTCTTTTCTCTGCTCCAGAGGCTCTTCCTCTTTGATTATTTCACTGGCTAATTCCAAAACTGTCAAAAACCTTTACTCAAGTCATCCATTCAACTATCTTTACTCTCTACACAACCCCAAAAAAAAGCACCAACAAAGAGTCGTCACTCGCTCCTCGGTAAGTCTCCATCCATCTCGAATCCCCCCTCCCCTGAACTCTCCTCTCTCGACAAACAAGAGACCAACAAACAAAAAGCATAGAATATTCCATATTCTAACCATCTCGAAAAAATCCAGAGCGAAAGCAAAGAAACCATGGCAGAAGAAGCTACAATCGTCCTAGAGACACACATCTACTCCAACTCATCCTCCTCCCCCTTCTCGTCAGGCTGGACCCGCAGCTTCCACCTTCGCCTCTCCCACCAAGCCGCCACCAAATCCCAAATCCTCTCCCTCGTTCGCGCTTCCATCACCCGCCTAGGCCGCGCAGACCCCATCGTCGAGGCGCAAATCACGCTCTCCTGGACCTCTCGTACCGGCCGCGTCGTCTCGATCCCCGGCGACGGCAACAGAAGCAGTGATGGCAGTGGTAGTCGCATGGCCACGGTCACGATGCCCATGTGGCAGCAGCAGCCTCCCCCCCACCTGATGACCTTCAACATCGGATACCCCGCGCTCGTCCAGCCTCCTCAGCCGCTGCCCCAACCACTGCCGCTGCCGCTGCCGCAGATGACGATGATGGCGGACCCGCCGATGCCTTTGGCCATTACATACTCCAACGGCGTAAACTACCTCCACTCCTACGCCAACCCTACCACACAGCCTCAGCCTGTGATACTCCCACAGCAGCAGCCCGCGTACCCAGCCATCGTCCCCGGCGGACAGCAGACTTGGATCATGGGAGGTGGTCCGCCCCAGCTCACCTTTATCAACGTCAACGTGCCAACCTTTGGTACCCCCGGCACCGGTGGTGGTGGTGGTAAACCGGTGGTCTCAGACGTTATAAGAGAAGCCCGGCTGGACGTAATCGCCGAGGCGGCGCTGGGCGGGATGCTGGAGTGGGTTTGTGGACCTACGGGCCTCAAGTTGATTGCTGTGGTTGATGTCGATGGAAGGGATGTTATTCCTGTTGTTGTTTCTGCTCCTCCTGCTGCGACTGCTGTTGTGGCCGAGCCTACACCTCTTGATTCTCCCGTGGCAGCTTCCCCTTCGCCGTCGGCTGCAGTTACTATACCCGTCGCTCCGACTTCGCCTGCTTCCGCGCCAGCCTCGCCCGGTGGCACTGCTATACCTCCTCCGACGGCTTCCTAAAGGTGGATAAACGGGACGTTGGGCTTTTACACATTAGGACGCGGTCAAGGGAGGAAATGATGATAGGAAATGGTATGGAATAGAAAGGACTTGTTGCCAAGTACGAAGCAGAAGCAGAAGCGCATGCATATTGACCTATATTGATCCCCTGGGGGAGTGTGTCTGTCGAAGAAGATTGATACCCCAAGTGACAGAACCCTCTAAGTCGCTCAAAAGGAAAAGAAAGAATAGTTGAAAATTCATCACTCAATGATCAGAAGTTGGCCAAACTCACAATCATAGGCCGGAGGGAAAACAAATAGAGGGCCGACCCTTCAACGACATTAATATCTCCTGATCATGGTGATGCAGGGGGATTGGCTTTCTGAGCTGGCGAGAAAGCATCCTAATTCACTCAGATGTACCGTATCCTACATTGCGAGTAATTGGGCTGTATCCTATGAGCTACGCTCGAGATATTTCATTCTGTCACCCTCGTGATCGCCCCTGTTTCCACCTGGATCATCAGCAACAACGCCTCAAGGGGTCACGAACACGATATATTCAACAGCTGTACTGACGACTGTTCCAGTATGACCACCACGACAGCCGTGTCCACGTTAGCCAGTAATCTCGGGGCTCATTGTTCCATCCACCTCTCCACCTTCCGCGCCTCAACACTCATCATCGACCCCCAGAGCCCCAACCGAAAACATCTTCAAATTCGGCCCCACGCCCGCGAACAAACTCGCGTGCCGCCGCCCAGGCATCCTCTGAAACTGGCAACTCTTGACCGGCGTCCTCGCCTTGACGGCATCCACAGCAGGACACCGCAACCTCCGCCCAGACAGCAGCGAATACAGCCCCAACCGCCCATCATCATGCGCCGCGGCCACGATGCCCGAATCGACGTCAACATCCCACCCGAAATGCATGTGCGCCTCGTTCTGGAAACCCGGGAACTCCACAACCGGCTTCGTGCCGTTGGGCTTCGTCTTGCGGTACCGGAGATCGAACAGCGCCATCGTGGACCTCGGCCCCGCGGCGAGGAACTGGTGCGGGTTCACGGCGCGCAGGTGCGCCGTGGCGCCGACGGGGATGTTATCCCACTCGGACCACTTGACGCGCAGGTCAATCATCCTGACGTCGCGGTTGCGGCCGCCGGCGAGGAGGACGTTTGGGTTGGAAGGGAGGAACGTCTGGTCGAAGAAGTCGCCCTCTGCTGGGCCCGGACGAGGGCGCGGCGGGCCAAGCCAGTGGATGCGCTCGTCCGAGGTGAGTTTTAAGAGGCCGTAGGAGGTGCCGATGATGCAGGTTAGGGAGGAGGAGGAGGGCGGCGCGGGCGTTGTCTGGTTTACGACGCCTTCGCGGCGGCCTGTGTTGAAGGAGATGTGGCGGAGGTTGTTTGCTAGACGTGGTCTGCGTTAGAAAGAAAGGGGTCAATGTGCTCAGGGAGTAAAAGGGGGGCAATTACCTCTGTCGAGTAACCAGAGAGGTCGGTCATCGTTGGGAGCGGATTTGGGAGGGGAAAAGAGGTAGATGTCGCACGTGTTACTTGGCTCGCGGGATGTAACGATTATGCGATGCGAGTGTGGGTGATAGTTGATGGAAGAAATCTGGGGACAACCTATCATCTCGTGACGATGTGACAGTCGGCGTTCAGGACGGCTTGAGGCATCAGTGCTGAAGGATATCCTGCTGTCGTCAGCTCTTTACTCTGAGCCGCGGCAGTCTGTTGGCTGCTCACCTGTCATTGTCGTCCGTGGGGATATACGACCCTATCAAAGTCTCCTCGTCCAAAGCTACTACAATCAGAACACAAACTCGTAGTCACAATCCAGAAGTGGCATCAAACTCACTCGCATACGCAACCCCGAGCCCCGTCTTCTCATCATCGCCGCCAACATAGAAACAGGGGATATTCGGGAAACTCTGCCTCGCAAAGCTGGGCACGAAAGGCACTTCGCCCTTGTCGACGAGCCCCCGGGCCCACGCCGCAGCAGGGACATCCTCGACGCCAAACGCCCCGTCGACCCGCAACCTCGCCCTCTCCTCACGACGCACGCCGAGTTCGACGTCCAAGACGCCGCCGATGAGCGGGGCCCGCAGCGCGGCGGACCGGACAATGTGCCGCTTCAGCCGCTCCCGGCGGGCGGCGACGGCCTCGGCCTCGCGGTGCTGGATCTTCCGGCGTTTGACGTTGTCGGCGGACCAGGCGGCGGTCTGTGGTGCCGAGGCGCCCTTTTCGATCTTGAAATATTTGCCCTTTTCCTCATCTAGAATGTGTGATATCTTCCGAGTTAGCCGGCTGGTCCGTTGAAAGGGTACAGTTCAAGTGAAGAACAGACTCAGTGGTCAAAGGAGGTTGAAAGAACTAAGACAGAGTATAGTGGTGTAAGACTTGAGAGGGGCGTGTGAGTAGTACCGTAGTAATACCCGGGGATTTGCATCCGCGGCTGAGGTGCCATGATGGTTTCTTTCTGTCCGGGGTTCGGTCCGCCGCGATGGCTACGGGGTCTCGGCTTCGAGGCAATGGTGGAAAGCCTGCCTTGGGTAGGGGTCCAACAGATGAGAGGTTGAGCCTTGAGGTGGTTGGAAAGGCCAAGAAATCTCAGATATTTGGAAGATGGGTTGTCCCAAAGGGGAAAAGGATAAAGAAGAATTATCGGCACTAGCTCCGTCTCGGACTCGAGATCTAGACAAGGCTCAAGGCACAGTCGAATTGACTATCCAGGAACACTGTGGACGGTCTCCTGCTTGCGGGATGGTGTGCTTTGTTCGTGGCGGGAGTGGGTGTAAGTGGTCAATCTGCACGTGTGTTGGGGGGCAGATGTGGATGGTCCGGGGAGGGGGGGTTCAGATATGCGGGAATGGAATTATGCATGAGAAACACCAGTACGATATCGTATCGTCGTGACGATGACAAAGAGGATTGGATATTGCGAGTTGGTGATGGGCTTGGTTGCTTGTGTGGGATGGGTCAAGGGTTGATGATGGCGTCGGTGGCGCCGAGTATCAGTGTGAAGCACTTCCTTTCCAGAAGCAGGCGGAATGGATGGCGGAAGAGGAAAAAAGAAAAAAAAAAGAGAAAAAGAGTGGGGGGTGGGAGGTGTGCGTTTGTCGTCCGGAGCCGGCAGTAGAACCCCACTTTCGCGGTGAACACGCCGTTCCCTCCTCTGAGAGTGGCAGCGTCAGGTCGTTTGGTGTGTCACACCGCATGATCAAGGCCATTAACCTCGCTGATTCTGCGGTGTAATCACTGAAGCCGCAGTGAAACTTACGGCAAGCTAAGGCGCTAGATTCGACACCCCACCCTCCCAAGTGCCGCCGCCGTGTGCGGGGAGGGTCGATTCAATGCCTCAACCACCTCACCCACCACCACCACCCCCACCACACTCACCCATCGCGTCTGCCACCAGTTGTAAAAGGGCAGAAATTTACAGCGAGATTCGACGCTAAGGTGAGATAGCTTCACACTGGACATGTCTCCGCGGCTGATCTGGCCCATCAATCGCTATAATCGTCGGCCGGCGTCAAGCAACTCGGGGCTCTCACACGTAACCTGGAAGTACGTGGTTGAGCTTTCCATTTAGCTCCGGGCGAGAATAACGGCTGAACCGATGACTTGGCAATTCTCGACACCATTCTCTAGTACGCAGTATGCTTTAGTCCAACATATTCTATCCAAGGTACCACCAGCAAAAAAAAAAAAAAAAGCTTGGCCATGATAGTATGCGTGTCGGGTGCTGAACTAAGGTACTTGACCTGCGTGCCTTAGACGGCTGCTCCGATTGAGGGGAAAGAGGTTTGTTCACCTTGTAAATCCGATATACCTCGTCTTAGCTGGTCTCCTGCCGTGTGGATTGCTGTAACCGGTGCCCGTTGGCAAAGGTCCAGCAACGGCGTTTCATTGACTCATCGATGCTGTAGCGGCCCATTATGGACCTTGCCATGCTTCGCAAGTGCCTCTATTTATAAGGTCGACTCCATCAGGAGAGACGGGGGCAGTCTTCAGGCATACCACGATTGAATTGAGTCGAGCCGGGAATATCTCAATCTCAATAGACAAACTTGTCAGGTGGTCAATTGAGTCTCTCCTCATGTTCTGCAACCATGAGCTCCAGTTGACATCACGTCATATCCAATCTGAACCTAAACCTGAACCTGAGCCATTGTGAAGTCGCCCATAGCACCCTCGACAACTCAGACTGAGCGAATGCCCTTACCTCAACAGCAAGCAATTGACACGAGCATGTTTCTCCAAGTCTAAGACATTGAGACCACCAAAATAAGATGAAGTATACAGAATCAACGTCCTCTACACATTTGACAAGCTGTCCTATGCTCAACGATGAGTACGGATCTCCATGCGGTACTAACTGTACGCTCTCCACTCAAAAGCCCCATCAGCTCCATCAACCAGCTGCAGCCCCCCCCTCCAAAACCTTGCCCCTCCAACCCCTCACCTCCCAAGTCCAGATAGCTACCCCCTCCAAGCTCCCTCTCCCTCCCTCAACATCCATCCAAACATCATCACCACACAAAGCTCGAACTCGAATCCCTCCTTCTCGAACCTCCCTCTACTGTCATCCAACACCCTAACCACCTACCTACCCACCTACCTACCAACCTAGAATAGCCCAACATGGTCTACACCCTCACCGTCCACCTCCACGCAAACGACCACCCGGACTCGGTCGAACGCATAAAGGCAAAGCTCATCGAGGCCTCGCGCGTCTACTCCAAGGACCGCGAGACCGTCAGCTGGTTCGTCATGCAGGACGTCCACGACCCCAGGTCCTTCACCATTGTCGAGCGCTTCGAGACGGAATATGTAAGAACAACCCATACCACCAGCACACACACACACACACATACACACGAATACCCATTCTCGTTACGCACAAGACACAGACAACATGCAAAAGCCTCGCAAACCTGCCACTCACTCACTCCCTCCCTCCCTCCCTTCCCTTGAGCGCTTAACAGATTTGCTGATCCATGTGTCCTCCCCCGTGCAGAGCCAAAAGTACCACCTCGAGAACCCTTACTGGAAAACCTTTGATCCCTACGTTGTGCCATTGCTCGATCGCCCCATGGACCTGAGAAGACACGAGGAGTTGGATACTTCCAAGGACGTTGTCGTACCTCAGTAAGGTAGACCACGTGACTAGATAATGCAGATTATTGCTCCAAAGAAACCACAACCTTCTTGGTGAAAAGTGACATGTCACACATACACGTACATAGATATAGGGACCATTGGAGGATTGGGGCAGCAGACCATGTTGAGGATAGAGAAAAAGACCAAGGCACCAGCACACTGACAAAGTTGTTGACTGCCATTGACACATGCACAAACAATGGATGGGAAATTGAGTTACTTGATTTAACGATTTGTATTAGGTCTATCAACGCACTAGGGTATACCCCTCCTCTCTTGCTCCAACTCGATCACAGTAATTACCGATGAAGTTCATCGTACAATTTTAAACATAGAGAAAGATGAATTTCGTGGGCACAAGTCCACGTCTCCTCCGGTCTCAATAGGGGCCAGATTCAACAGGCCCAGGGAGATCATCCCGCGGAGTCGACGGAGCGTTGTAACGGCGCAAGTAGCGTCGTAGTCAAGCCCGACTCTGCCAAGAGATTCCTCTTTACTGCGACTTCTCGTGCTGGGTGGAGACACGCTGCAGGGAGACGACTGATGAAACGGTTAGCCTCTGTTCTGTAACAAGACACATAGTGTGGGGTAGACTGGGGAATATAAAAACTTACCAAAGTCCTCAAGCGAGCGCTGCTTCTGGTTGCCCTTGGGGGACTTGCCGTGCATCAGGTTGTCGAAACCGGTGCTGTCCTGGAGCATGTAGTATACACCAGCGCAGACGCAGAAGACACCGAATGAGAAAATCCAGATACGGACGACGGCAACAATGGAGGTCTGCTGACCACCCTCGAAGAAACCCCAGATACAGAAGCAGGTGGCAAGAATATCGACGACCAAGATGGCGCCAGACAGCTGCCACGAGGGGATGGAAGACCAGAAGGGACCGTTGGCACGGGTGATGAAGATAAGCCAGTTCTCGGTGAGGGAGACCTCAAGGAAGACAACCTCGTCGAGGTTACCGAAGTTCTGGATAATACCACCGTTGGGGTGGGCGTACATGGTGGTAACAGTAATCCAGGTACCGACGGCAAGGACGATACCAAGGAGGACGGACATACCCCAGAGCTTAGGCAGGTTCCACTTGACGGGGGACTTGGAGAAGGGGGCGTTGTCGTAAGCAATGGCCAGGGTGGCGATATCGGCGAAAATGGCAATGAAGACGACCAACTCAATGTTCAGGGAACGGTTGAGGATGGCAATCCACAGACCAAGGTAAATCTCCAAGTGGATGGACAGGGCGATACGGTAGACGACGTAGGCGTACATGCGGTGGAAAATCTGGCGGGAAGTCTTGAGGGCGTCGATGATGGCACCAAGACCGGGGGCAAGGAAGACAATGTCGGCAGCGGAGCGGGCGGCGTCGGAGGCACCCTCGACGGCGATACCAGTGTCAGCCTTCTTCAGCGAGGGAGCATCGTTGACACCGTCACCAGTCATGGCAACGAGGTAACCACGCTGCTGAAGGATCTCGACGACGTTGTACTTGTGCTGGGGGAAGACCTCGGCGAAGCCATCGGCAGCCTCAACGAAGTCGTAGACCTCGGAACCGGGCATGTCACCACCGCCACCGAGACCAAGACGCTCAGCGTTGTAGATGTTGGTGCCGAGACCGAGCTGACGAGAAGTCTCACGAGCGATACCGACGGCGTCACCAGTCAACATCTTGATAGACAGACCGAGAGACTTGGCCTCGTTAACAGTGCGGGCAGTGTCGTGGCGAGGGGGGTCAGAGCAGGGCATGATTCCGAGAATCTCCCATGCACCGTGGTCACCACGCTTGCGGGCAACACCGAGAGAGCGGAAACCACGGGTGGCGAACTCAGCAACCTTGTTCTTGTAGGCCTGGTCAATCTCCTCGGGGATCTCGTGGTCCTGCTCGACGGTCTTGAGGACGAAAAGGGGGGCACCCTTGACGCAGGTAATGCGCTCACCAGCGGGGGACTCGACGAGGGCAGTGACCTTCTTGGAGACGGGGTCGAAGGGGAAGAACTCAATGACCTTGTACTTGGACAGGACGGACTTGGCGCGAGGGTAGTAGCGGAGCGACTTCAAGAAAGCCTTGTCGATGGCGTCCATACCCTTCTTCTTGCGGGAAGCGGCCAAGCAAGCAGTAAGCATGAGGTCCTCGGGGTCGACACCGGCGACGGTGTAGGGCTCGGCAAGAGAGAGCTTGTTCTTGGTGAGAGTACCGGTCTTGTCAGAGCAGAGAATCTCGACACCAGCAAGGGACTCGATGGCGGACAGCTTCTGGACGATGGCCTTCTTCTTGGCGAGGTAAGCAGCACCGACAGCCATGGTGGT